AGTCGAACTATCCAAATCTCTTTTCACAGGTTAAAATTGCTTGAATGATTAAGCTACCTAAAATTGTTCAAAAGGCCAAAATGCATTAACTACTTAATAGGTTCTACTAGACAAACTCTTCAATCAAACTTAGTTGGTTCACCTGGTTAAATAATCAAACTGACGAAAGCAGTGAAACTGCAGAAATTGCACAATCTATATCGAATGGTTTAAGTCGTCACTATAATCAAAGTAGCTGAAAATATTTAACTGGACAAAATGCACGCCTAGCTTAAATGGTTTAACTGGACAACTTACCTTCGTTCAGATAGCGAAATAGTCAAAGAGCCTTACTGGGTTGTAGAGCTTAATTAGTTTAATTGGTTTTAACAGTCAAACTAGTTTGAGCATTTTAACTCCTTCAAGCAATTCAGCTAGATTCTGCAGTTTGTGCCGTTTATTGCTTGACGTTAATTTGACCATTTAAAGAACTTCGACCAGTAAAGATTGATTGTACAATTTTTCTCAGTTGACCTTCGTTCGACTGTTGAACCGTATTTGAGCTAAATTGTTCAAATTGTGCAGTTGAATGGATTAGGCTAATCATGCACTTTGTTCAGTTGAAAACAGTTGAACCGGACAAAGTGCATATCATAGTTACATCTTTTTAGTTAAACCATTTAAGCTAGTTTGACTATGTGAACCACTTCCACCAATTAAGATAGATTTTGCATTTTGTGCAGTTTTGCTCAGGTTTAATTGGTTTAACTAGTTAAGATAATCAAACTAGATGGATTGGTTCATATGATTAAGTAGTGGTACTAGCAAAAACATTTCAACTTCACAAATAGCACAATGCATCTTTACTGGTTGAAGTAGTTTAAAATGGTCAAACTGTAATCACTCGATTGACATTTAGCCAGACAAACCATTAAGGCTACTAATTGGTTTTGTCCAGTTTAATCAAATCACCTAGTTCTGAAATTTCTCATGTTGACCCGTTTAAGTCAGATGGACTATCGAATTTTTTTAACCAATCAAGATAGATTGTGCAATTTGTTTGACTGCTTTTCCTAGTTTGCCTATTTGACCAGTGAAACCATTTCAGCTAGATTGTGCAGTTTGTGCAGTAACGCCGATTTGTGCATATAACTGTCTTCGCCGGTTGGACTATTTACTTGGTTTAAATAATTAAGCTACTTTGATCATTTAACTTCTTAAACAAATTTGGCTACATTTTGCTGTTTGTGCACTTCAAGAATTGAAGGCAGTTCGACCATTGCACTACTTCAAGCAGTTTGGCTGTCTTCCCTAGTTTGACTTTTCAACCAGTTCAACTATTTAAGCCAGTAATGCATTTTGTCCAGTTAAACCATTGAACCAAGTTCAGCCATTCGAACAATTTTTACCAATTAAAATAGACTGTGCAATTTACGCAGTTTAACTGTCTCAGCTAGTTTGACTATTTAACGAGTACATCCAATGAGGGCTTGATCGTACAGTTGGTACAGTTGATCCTATCAAGTAAGTTATGCATTTTTTGTGGTTTAACCAATTAACGTACTTTGAGCATTTGAACTTCATCGACCATTTGAGTTAGATAGTGCAATTTGTGCATTCTTACTGTTTTCGCTAGTTTAATTATTTAATCACTTTAACTAGTTCAACTAAACTGAGGCGTTTGTGTAGTTCAACCTATCAAGCTGGTTATGCGTTTTGTCCTCTGCAACAATTGAAGCTAATCTGACCATTTGAACTAGTTCAACCAGTTGAGAAAGATAGTGACATTTATCGACTTTAGCAGTTTCCATAGTCTTACTAACTAGTAAGATAGTTGAACCTGCAAAGATAGCAAAATACACAATACTAGCTTAATCCGTTTAACTGCACAATCTGGACAATCCAGCTGAAATGGTTTAACTCGTTTAACAGTCAAAGGTCAACTGAGACAAAAACTGCACAATCTTTCTCAACTGGTTGGAGTACTTTAAATTGTCATTGAAACTAATTAGGAATGACTACAACAAAATACTCAATAAATAATTCATCACAAGTAAACTACTTGTACTGTTGCTCAAAAACATCAACTATTGAACACATGTCTATGATAGTAATATCTACAGTTTTCAATTGGTCCAAATAACTCTCGTTATCAAATGACACTCCTCTTAAAAAAGACCTTGAATCAGTGAGTGTGTTCATATAGATGGTAAAAGCAAATCAACATAATTCGATCTTGAAATCTTTAATGTCTCAGTACGTTTTTTAATTATGTCACACCACTACCAAGTATAATGCCAAGTAGGATGGGACTCGTTGTTACCTTTCCAGCTATAGTACCACTTACTATTAAACAAGACGATGACAAATTGCAAAACAGATTTAGTTTCTTGGACCCCTAGGCTTTTTGTAACAATCGAAGCTGCTTGTGATAGTATTTATATGATGATGTAACTTCATTTATTGCGTTTTTGTCCAGTGAGTTATCTGTATGATTGAAGTTGAAGTCTCTTTTTGAAGCTCACATATAAAATTTTTATATTGGGCAGATTTTTTCTCATCATCAATTTTGCATAAAGCTGAGCATTGAGAGTGTCATTATCTACACCGAGTGATATGGAATGACCGGTAAATGTTCCAAATATTCCAAAAAATGTACTATCTATCTATTTATTATGTGTGTTTTGTGTAATTACATTGTATCGCTTACTAATGGATCCAGAAGTATCATTTGCTTTGTAGTAGAAATGTGTTGCAGGCACCTTGCAACCATATCTTCAATGAAATTCATATGTTCCAACCACATCAAACGTTAATTTCTCACTGTATAATATGAAATGTAAATAATTGGAAACTGCATATTTTGATCTTGACTATCAGAATTTGGTTTCATTTTTATTATCATGACCCATTTCATAATTAAACAAGTATACAGGTACGAACCCAATGTTGCTGCCTGTTTAACACCATCCACATATGATTTATTTGCAGTATCATTATTATTTGTTGGCGTAACTAAATTTATTTTTTTATTGGACACATTAAAATCAGCGCACATTGGTTTTGTTCAATCAGTTTGCAATAAATTGTTTGTTGGTGTGTCCACATATGGTTTCTTTAGTGCATCATTGGCATCAATTAGTGTGGCTAAATGGAGTATTTAACTATTAGCCATGAGATCAGTAGCCATTGCAGTCTTTCCATCAGACCAAATATCTATTCAGATTGCCATTAGTTATTTCAAACTTTTTATCCCACAAACTAAGTAGAACATCGTAACGATGTCCTAAGATGCCATAAACTATGACACGAATGACGAAATCCTGTGCATAAGCCCCACCTGACCTTTCCTTAAATACTAAGTCCGGATCAATGCTGCCATCTGGGCACGATACAAGAAATCGAGTATAACGAGGACGTTTAAAAGAACGAGCTCGTTATACACAAGATCGAGTATAACGAGGACGTTAAAAAGAACGTCCTCGTTTATTCGATTTCAACGTGCAGTGAACTCAATGCCAACGATCTTTCGTAACATCGTGTCCGTTGTCTAACAACATGCTCGATTTCTGCTTTTCCAGCATTGTTGATCAGATCGTTTACGATGCGAGCCAAACGTTGACGATGTAATCGTCGACACCCAAATCGTCGACCGATGATGTCTGCGTATCAAAGGAGCACAAGTACAGAACATGATTGTACGAAATTTCAGTCAATATTTCACTTGATTTTCTTATCGTAGTATCTTTTGATAACACAAAGAGAAGTAGAAAATAGAGCGAATAGAGTGTAGAAAACGAAGAATGCAGCCAACAGTATTTGATGGTGAATGTTCCGAGAGATTACTTGGGAAATAGAGAGAAAAGTACAAGAGTTATTCTTCAAAGACCTTTAATTTATGAAACGATTCGTTACTACATCATCGCGTTGTGGCTAAATTATCTTCAAAATCAGTCCATGCCAAAAATTAAAAGCGCATGCAGATTGCTGCAATATTAAATACCGCGCATGATCTGTGTTTTAGCTAAGTGTCATCTGCGCATTAGACAAGGAGATTGTACTATTACCTTTTTCACGACTTGAGCCAGTTTAAAGCTGTTGTTTTTCTTTAAAAAATAGTTTATAATAGTTAAAAATCCGGTGCAAAAATAAACGTAACGATGTATATCCTCCTTAAACTGGGTTGCTTGTAAAATATCGCATAAGAACTTCAATAATATTATTAAGAGCGTCAGCCTCCCCTCTCCAGTCTCGCCACATATGCTCGTTGAGAAAAGATTGCAAATTATAGTTACTGACACCTTTCCTCATTTTAACCTTTTACTTCAACCTTGACCAAGCCGATTCCTCCTCTTGCGTATGCACACCAGTAACGGGGTCAACAAAATTAGCGGCATGTACTACAACTCGGTGAGTTTGGACAGTTGCTGTATGGGCTGTTATGTTGAAATGAGCCCCCCAGTCATCACTGTGGACTTCTGTACCGGGCAGCAAAACCCTCTGCAGGATGGGTATCAAACTAGCTCTATCTCTACGCTCCACAACCTCGAAATACCGTCGCGCTGGAGAATAGCGTGTTGATACTACTCCAAACACCCAGTTGTCTGTTCTTGCTCTTCGTCCTCAGTTTCCCTGTACATAGATAAAACCATTGATAATTTCTATTTCATTGAGACGTTTTTACATATCGTTATCACCTTTGCTTTGTGGTTGAATTTCCTTTCGTCCACTTTTGCCATGAAAGTCGCTCCAAATGGAGTGATAGGATGCTGCTGAATGTCCCTGAAAGGTAACCACGTCTCTTAGCAATTGAGACATTTCGATAATTCACTGGGATTGATCTCCAGCATGCATGCTGCCGTGACTTGCCTCTCACCTTTGACCACAGGTACAGAAAGACTAAGATTTTTCTTATTGGTAACCTTGGGAAATCTGCAAATATGGAATTACTCCTTAAACTTCTCTTCTTTTTGCATCCTCTACAGCGCCTAGAACGATAATAAGTATCGGAAAATTGCATATTAGTAAGAAAGCATCTGGTAATCTGGTTCATATCTACTGTATAAAAAAAGGCTTTTATATCTATATATCTTTTTCTGTTATCATCATCACCATAACTATTATTATTATTCTTATCATTGTTATTATTAATATTTTTGTCTAGAAGACGTTGTTCAGTGAGTATGCTGAATTCTTTAGTGGCATTTTTGGTGCCCGGTGTTCCGGCATTAGGTCCGCCAGCTCGCCGCTGAAGTTTATATAATTCATCGAATTTGTCATCCGCGGGAACATTATCCTAAGAATAAAGTAACGTTTCGATCGCTGAGCGCCGAAAAGTGAGATGTGACAACCAAAGCTGGAAACACGTCTAAGCTCGCAGTTCACGATCGCTGCATTACCAACTCATTATCCAGACCTGAAAATAAAACATCTTAACCTGAGTTGCATTTCGCTTTCCTAACCACCGAGTTGGTATCTTTCGGTTGAGGTCTGTTTTCGGTTTTTTTTTAATATTTCAATTGACAACTGATAATCTTCTATATCAGAAATACTTTAACTGTAACACTTACCACTGATATCCGTGGACGTGATCTTCGTTTCGAGCAGAAATAACCATATCCAGGTTGCAATTTCCACAACGAAGCAGATTTGGCAGCAATCCATGCCCTTGCAACGAAGTTATCAACTCTCTTACGTCGCCGTCTGCCAGTGCTGAGATTTGCAGTAAATTCATAGCTTCCGATTGTGATCACAATATAACCGTGTAGAATGAAATTTTTTGCGGGACATTTTCATAATATCTTTAGAATTTGTTCGTCACCTTGCCTGTAACAGTCAACCTAGAGAACCTGAAACGGCTTCCCTTTTCGAAATGTTAGCCATCACATAAATGATGTCATCAAGAAACCTCAAAACGCGTCAAAACGAGTCAACTATATTTTTCATCACTATTTATATTATTTTTTATGGGAGAAACGTTTCAAGGATGGTACGCTGGCAAGACAAGAAGATAAATGCAATGAAATACGCAGTGACGTTGCAGCTGACACGGGCATTCTGCACTGGCTGGTCGATTTTTATCAGCACATGCAGAAAAACGTTTTGTTAATGAAAAGTGTGGCATCCTAGGGGCCTTGAAATATGGTGTCCCCTTGGGTTGATGGTTCTTGTGCCTCAGAGACCGAAAAATTATTTTGTTAGCTCAAATTAAAATATTCCTTTTTACTTCGATGTATGAGATATGTGAACACGAGTGGAATAAAAGCCATTTTTTAATCACACAGTGATTAATTTTTGCGGGTTTAAATTTTGCTGGTGTTTTCTTTCTGCTGGAACTTATTCTTGAGGATCAAGTACCATCCACAATACCCTCAAATTTTAAATACCGCATAATAAAAGTGCTACAAGGTATGTTCGTGCAATCACTTTTTTGAAATTCCTCGTTACTTCTGTCACATAGCTTGATAACAGCTTCTGCAATGGTCATTTCCAAATTTGGTTCTCGTTTGGGACCAACTGAAGATGCATGTTTATGTTCATGGTCAATTTAGAAATTATCAGAAATCATCGCTGTAACGTATCGTTCTATCAAATTTCTGAATTGCTATGTTTTTCTCAAAAAGATTAAAAACCTGAAATAATCTTGAACTAATGATTTACTTGAAACGTGATGCTGAGCTCCGAACAATGTACAACAAACCTGAGGTCTGGTCAATTTCAGATACTCCAGCTCTCCAAAGATTCTTCCTGGTGTTTTTCCTTTTGGTCGTGTTGTCATTCGCAAAAGACCGGAAATACAGTGTTTTTAAGCGAGTTAAATTATTCTTTCCAGACCGACATTTTCTAGTTAAATATGGCATCTGTTTTCACCGTGCAATTTCACTCGGAATTTGAGCGGCTAAATTAAATTGTATATTTACCAAAGCGCGCAAATTTAAAAAAATGGCAGCGGATGAAGTTCTTTTAATGACTTCTTTCATGTTGATTCTCGCTATATTTCTGCGAAGAAGACCGAGTTTCTTTCAGAGGATGCGGTCGTTGTTTCTACAGTTGAGGAGAACGCGATGATATGTTGTAATCAGGTTGATTATTAAGAGGTGTCTCTCCCCAGTCTGTGTACGGTTTTTTTCTACTCACTGTTAGTGGCTTGCGTCGCAAAAGGACACCGTTAACTGAGCTCATCAATTTTTGCATTTGCATGGGTTAGGTGCCTATGGCCAGGTAACACCTGTCTTCCAAGCTCACGAACACTTAGATAAAAGAAATTAGCGACCCCTTTTAGTGTTACCCATCTTTGACGCAGTTTTTGGTAATTGTCTCTACCACAAGTTATGCAAATAGTTTGAGGGAGACTGCTTGTAAGCCATCAAATTGCCTTTCATAAGCGTCATGGAAATGATACAGCTCTGATCGGCAATTTGAAACATTGAAAATAAAATCTTGATGGGAAGGGTTTAGTAGGTGTTGTATTGTTAGATCTCGGTGGGGCTTTCGACAGCCAACGACACGACCTTCTTCTCGGTATCTCGTTGTATAGTATTTGCAAGATAAGGACCTTTCTAGATGGATACAGACAGCGTGGTAATATTTACGATAGTTTTTCTGTCTTTGGTCTCTAGAAGAGATCCGCCCAGGTCTGTTTTAGGTCCTTCCCTTCTCAAATACATCATACAACAAAGGCCCCTCCAGGTCGTTGTATTTGGACAGTTTTCGGTGGACTTAAATGATGTTTCTGTCTGACGGTTTTTTGTCAATGAATTCACAAGTCATCGCGTTGTGGTATGTAAACACTACCATACCTGGTCATTCGATGGGTGTTCTTTGTGTATTTGATGATTGCTACATCTGCTAGTTTGCCTGGGATTGATATAATTATTAATATAAATTATTGATATTATTATCATTATTATTACTTTTATTATTATTTGTGCCCTTTCTTCTAGGGTGTTTCACTCGAAAGTGCCGAGACGTTTCCAGTTTTTTTAAAAACGTTGGGGGAGGGTGTGGTAGAAGGGGCTTCTTCTACTACTCCTCAACGCTTTTGCAGTTGGCCGACTTTAAATTCTTTTATAGCGCAATACATTTTTTATGCCAAAAGCTAAACCTGCCATAATCCGAGAGCCATTGGAGTTGATATGTATACATAAATATATACATGTCCAAAGCTTTGCTTTCATGTCCAAATTGAGCACTCTACTAGGATGAGTCATTGCTGCTAGCATTATGCATGCTCACTAGTTTTTCTAGTTTGAGCACTCTGGCATGGCTTAGTTGATCCCACATGTGTGAGATCACTTGGGGTGGGTATATGGCCTTACCTCCATCTTAGCATTAGCACTGCACTGATGAGGCCCAGAAGGCCGAAACAGTACTGTCTGCAGTTACATACCATATTATATATATATATGTATATATATATATATATATATATATATATAGGAAGTCTGCAAGTCGATTTTCGCGTGGAACAGTGCTCAATACGTTGAAGCAGAGCAGAATAAATATTATGAGAGGGAAAAAGAGACGCAACTACATTTCCCGACAAGCCTGTTTCGTGAATCGCTTCACTCTTAAGCGATTCACGAAACAGGCTTGTCGGGAAATGTAGTTGCGTCCCTTTTTCCCTCAGAGACCTTCTTCAGTTATCAGTAACTAGAGGAGGTTTTTGACCGAAACGTTCTTATGAAATTTTCTGTCTTTTTTACGTCAGAAGTTATCCATCCTCGCATTTTTTTTTAACTCTCGACGTTCGTGTTTGCTGTGAGGGTCAGCCTACGAATCTTTATTGATCCTAATGGCGCGGTGCACCTTTGAAGAAAACATTGTAGTGACAGTCCTTGCCAAACTAGTCCAGTTGTTTCTTCAAAAGTGTACTTGTGCTTTTTTTTTTCGTACGCGCTCTCTAACTGACAGGTCTCAGATTGTAACAGATACCTGTAAAAATTATGTTTCAAATTTTGTTGGAAGCCTTTTAAATCGTCTTTATCATTACGCAAATGAAAATGTTTCGGTGAAGCATCTCTCTTTAATTTGCATTACCTCCATTTTAACTACCATTATTCGCCCAAAACTGTTTAGTTTATGGAGGGTCTTGCCTTAATTACAGCCGTAAGTCATTGGGTTCTTTTGGAAGGAATTTCGTTAATAGTCGAGGAGCAGATTTCTAAAAGAGGCCCAACTAATGGGTTACGTAGCACCCCCACCACACAAAAGGTTTGACAACAGATTCAGATAGCCAAATACCCACAGATCACTTATTCGACATTCGGATCTACAAATTGTGGGGTCAGTGACTTGGTACGCTGCGATTTCTGAAGGGGGTGGGGGGTATTTTGAATCATCAAATTTCAGCATTTTCGCACAGGGTTAAAACTTTGAAAATCATATCTTTTTACTTAATCAGGGAATTGTATTTGTATTTGGCCAACGAGTGTTAATCCATAAGAGCTACAATCTCTGAATTATTTTGTGCCTTTTTTGCGTTGCCATGGTAACGGTTTACAAGGAAACTCTGTCTATGGGGTCTAACGTCAATAATAGCGGATGTTTTGACTTCCGCGACAAATATACATTGCCGATGTATATGTGCATAATATACATTGATAATATATACATTAATATATACATTAATAATATATACATTAATATATACATTAATATAATAATTAATATATACATTAATAATAATAAACACATAATATATGTGCATAATATACATTGCCGATGTATATGTGCTTACAATTAATATTTACTAATTCTCGAGAACCGTTTGTATAAGACTTTTTACAAATTTGCAAATCAAACCATTCCATTGTCTTGTAACGGGTCATGAAAGTTGTCATAATTGCCTCTAAACCCTATTTTCCTATTGTTACCAATTAAAACCTTTGAAAAATCATATCTTAAAGACTGAACATTGTTCAACGATGAAACTATGGACAGTCACGTAACTTTATAAGCTCTTTCATTTTACAACCTTTTCGCGAAATGATCCTTGTTTCCATGGCAACGGTTGCTAAGATGTGTTTTTTTGTAAGCAATGCCGCTTTTAAAGAAGATCGAACAGAGATGTGGGTTAAATAAAGCAATTTAAAACAAAAGTTAATCGAAAAATTAAATAAGTTTTTTTTTCCGGTTTGAGGACTGCTGAATGACCCCCTTAATCACTTTTAACTGAGTTTATATATGGAATCAAAGTAATTACCACTGATTTTGTGGCCGACATAACGCGATTTGCTGAAAGTAGAACTGAAGAAACGGCATATTCTATAGATTTAACTGTCACCAATGTCTTTATTCAAGCAAAAGAAACTACAGGATCCTGTGCCATAGGTTCAATAGCAATCAGATATTACATGCTCTTTTCCATTTGCGTTTCACTTCAAAAGCATTACTACAACTAATTGACAGTCTACTCCTCGTCATCACTCGGACACTAATTCATTGAAAACAGTGTGAGGATTTTCACAATCACAGGCCATGCAAGCACAAGCTCATTGACTCTGCAAACGCAAGAAGCGGACTTGCAGGCTGTCTTTATGCATTTGCAGACAGTGAGCTCTGCTAATCCCTTTGGGGCAGCATCCCTGGTCATTAGAAGGGGCTTCAGGGAGCCGTCATCGCCCTTCTCTCACCCATTTCCCATTGGCTGTGGTAATTGCTGAAAGGCTTGCAGACATCGCTTCCAAATCATTGCTTGGTAATTGGCACGCTGAATGTGCAGCTGGAGACTGTCCGAGGTAGGCGGCAGTCCATTGTTTTTCTGTTTTCTCTGACAGAACACCCAGTACCTAGAAAACACAAAAGCATTTTGAGGGAAGGATTTTTTTGCTGTTGATATGCACTTTAACTAATAAGTTACATAAAATTAATGATTTGACCATGAGTATACCTTACATCATCTGCTGTTGTACCAGCTCTTGATGGGATGGCATACAAAGAGCTTATGAACGCCTCAGCCGTCTTTGTTACACTTTGAAGTGGTGGTACGTTGTCACCTAAGCCCGCCAGATCTACATACACATCCTTTGTTTGTAATAAAGCTTTCCAGGCCTTTTGCTTTCCAATTTGATACAGCGCGCTAGTTGAGTCACATCCTGTCAATGCGTGGAACGAGGGAATAAGACGGCAGAGATCCTCACCTAGCTTCTCCGCTAGACGGTGTACTGGTAGGAAACGAAGTTTGTCTTTAACACCAGTACGAAACCATAACTGCTGGGTATTGATCATGTTACATGCATAAACGCAGAGAGCTGCAACATCAGTATCAGGGGATTTCACCACAATCCTTTGGTAGTCTCTTGAACTGTCACTTGCGTGCAAAAGCATTCTTGTGTCAGCCTCTTCATGATCGGATGATAAATGAAGCAAAGGAGTTTCTTGATTTTGAGTGATAGCGAACGTGTCATCGCTGTGAATGAAACACCCAGCCAACACTAATTTCTGGTCCCCTGCAAGCCTTGTCTTTGCCATCTCTTTCCACATACTGCCAAGAAACGCCTTTAGGTTGATCTTGTTCACAGGGTTGGAGATGAAGTTTTGCCACTTCTTGGAAACTGGAGTGGATGGGCCCGATATTCGCACCTCAAAGCTTGATGATGATCCCCTTTGAGCACGCTCTGCCTCCTTGATCGAATCTTCCTTGTGATAGCGATCAAAAACTACATCCACACGATTACAGCCATTATTTCCGAGATGAGCGGTTATCAACTGGAATTACTTGTTAGCGAGCTCTCCAAATGTGGCCGAGCCTGCGTTCTTCATCATTTGCACCACTGCCATGCGATCTATGACATACGCAGTTGATATTCTGTCATCTACTGGTAGTCTGGGTAGTGCTAGTACTTGTTCCTCGAGTATCTCCAGGAACACACTTTTAGTAGTTTTCCGTAACAATCCATTAGGATGAGCCAGTGCGCAAGGGACAGAGTCCAGCTCGTACTTTAACACTTCTCTCAAGTCGATATCCCTTGACCGTGAAGCTATCAAAAGACGCCCAAACAAGTTTCTGTCCGCGCTTACTGTTACAAGCTTCTCATCCACGGACTTAACCTTTGCTTTCTTTGACAAACTTGCAAAGGTTTTTATGTTCATCTTTTCCATCGGTTCCCAAAAGCCAACTTCATTGGTATTGATACGCTTGCTCACAAATAACTTCATCCTCGCTTCTCCTAGACATTGGGCATCAATAAGTTGCTCTGATATCTCCTCTGGCATAACTACTCCTGTAGCAAGGTTCATTAGTGGAACGTCCTCTCTGTACGCATCTTCATCGAACGGATTAGACATCACTGTCTGCAGAGTGTGTATGACCTTCTTGATGTCATTTTCGTCTCTTTGAACTCTGACTTTTGATGATTCCTTGTGTGTACTTCTTGTAGATTCATCCAAATCTATTATTCTTTTGGTAGCAGTCGTGGTTGCTGTTCTCTCGTGTGCTGTCAAAAACCATTTCTGGAGAGCGCTTGGCCTTTGCGTAATACCGATTATGCCACCTTTAGCTTTACTGTCAAGGTTAATGCTCTGTTCGAGAGCCATGTCCGTCCAGACTTGGTTAAATGACTGTGAAGTTGACCTACTGACAGTGTGGTTCCCTCTAAGGAACTCGTTGTAGACGTCTAGAGCTTTTTCTTGCAGATTGCGCGTATCCATAATATAAACAGGCAGCCACCGGGAGTAATTCATACGATCCATTGCAAAAAAATAAGGAATCATCTTTGTTGTAACCTTAAGATGTAACTCCCAGTCACCCTCTTGTTCTGCTCGAATGAACTCGAGGAGAAGGAGAATCATCTCGATGTACTTGTCCCAAAACTTGAAAAGTTTCGATGACGTTTCTTGTTTAAACCGCATCAATAAGTCCTCAACACGGTTGGCGGTGTTACAAAGCAGCAAATAGGCCTCTTTCTTCTCTTCAGCTGTTGTTGCTGTTCTGTAGCGCTCTATGACAGAGTCAACGAGATTTAGAATCGGACCTCCTTCGCTTTCGACTTCTTCACCTCCTCCTTTACTAACCCAGGAGCAAAATGCGTCCCATTTCAAACGCTATAGCGCCTCCATAATCAATTTGTGTCCTCTAAATTCCCCTGTTGTACCATTTTCCCTGCAATAGTGCCATAGTAGAGTTCGATCTGTAGAGGCCAGACTCTATAAACGCATCCTCCAACCCACTCTCCTGGAACATCTTTCCGATCAAGGCCAAATAATTGAGTGCAATGTGAAACCCCCCTAAGCGAATCACTAGGTTTTGGAACTCTTCTGGATAACACCAGTGGATTTCCTTTTCCTTGGAATAAATTGCCAGATCAAATGTGATTACTGCAGTGTTCTGCTGGAGATGTTTGGACATTTCTTGCACTGTTTTGAGTACCGTATAGATGGTACTGTACTCTGTTGGTGATCCAGCAATCATCGGGCAGTAGCCAATGACGGTGCGAGGCAACGTGATGGAAGACATTTCGGCATTGAATGCGCTCCATCCGGAAACTGATTGCTCTCCATAGGTATCATTGGCCTTCAATACGTTTTTTCTATTCAGCCTGAGCAGAAACCATGCCAATTCTCTTACATTCTGAGTTGTTGTGCAATCGTCTCTACATTCAAAGTTCTCTTCTGCCCTTCCTATGAATGAGGTCAACGCAGGACGCTTACCATGCACACTGCAACCGTGCATGAGTTGACCCTGAACAGGCTGCTATAAAGATCTTCTTCTAGAGGAGTGGTCAGCCTGGACCTTCGGTGGGAGTTGGGGTCCAAAAGGCTGACGCTGATACACTACTAGCGTTGTGGCGTGTGTAGTTTTTTGCCATCTAGAGTTTCCTTGTTGAAGTTATTATTGTCGGCAGAGAATTGTACAAATGGGCCGGCGGTAATGTTTGATGGGATGACTGCTCCAGTTTGTTGGCTCCGTGCCTCCATCTCTCTTGCTCACGCTGTGTTTACGATTTCGACATCATCATATGAAGAGCAGTGCACCATTCTGTTTAACAAAGTCAAGACTTCCTTAGACCCTGTTAAATGATGTATGGTGACTGCCAAACCTATGTGTTTCGGTGTTTTCACCTGACTATTGGTCGCGGAATGAATTATATCCTGACCTAGCATAACTACGCGTCTTCCTTTCTCAGCACTAAGAGTAGCTCCATCCGACACGATAGTGGCCTTTTTGTCTTGCCTAGAGATAACCTCTGAAAGAAAACTGTAAAGGCTTTCCGGTATTAGACACCTGCCCTTCTCTATGGACACATCGTCTTCACACAATTGCTTGATTGAAATACCATTGCACTGTTTGATGTCATTCTTTATTATCTGGGCTGCTTGGTACAAAATGCTAGCCTTATCCTGTTCCATATCCTGTCTCGAGTCCTCATCGACTTCAAAATCTTCACTGGACTGCTGAGAGACTGATGTTTTTACTATGTCTGCAACTGACAAATGACTGGAATAAATTAATTCGGGCTTCGAAGGGTCGTTCTGCTTCTCGATGACTATTTGGTCTAAGAAATGGCCTCTCATTCTTCTTTTGAGCTTTTCGCTGCGATAATTGCTGCAAGAAATGCCTTTGACTTCCAATACCTGCTTATAGCGGTCTAACCTATGGCTCATGTCATAAATCTTTCCTTCAGATAATCCAGGAGTAATTTCATCCACTAACATAGCAAACGCTGCAGAATACATACACTCCTTCTCTTCATTATCTTCATTGTAACTGAGACATTTTAGGTTTGTCTTACTGACATATTTGCTTCGACATTTTCCGTGATACTTCGCTTCTTTCGCTATCAAATCAACGCCTTTGATATTTAAAAGCAATCGCTGGTCATCACAAGCAATGGCAGCGTCTACAATCGCTTGACAAGAATCAAAGCTGGCAACACTTATAAGCTCTTTTACGCCTTTGTACTTCTTTTTTTGGCAAAATATACATATTGACCAATCTACACTTTCATATGTGGACCTGGAAGTCCTGTCTACTTTTGCCTTCTTGGCTTCTTGTGGCTCATCTTCAGAATCCGCCATATCTAATATTTTAAAGGAGGAAAACTATCTATCACAATTTTACCGACAAAAAGTTATCAAGTGTTACTAAAGCAAACACACCGGGAAATTCTCTATATATGCAGTATATGTATATCTAAAAAAAGGTAATTGCTTTACAATTTATAATCAAATACATGTTTTAAAGATCAATGGTTCAGTTTATATTGGATTGGTTATAAAAACAAGGACTGATGTTTTCGATTTTCACAAAGAACTTACAGAGATTCTAAAGAACAATTTTCTTTAGTTCATGAGCTCAGTAAAATAATCAACTAATCAACCCTGAAAAATCTTTTAACCTACACCTAGCACGTCAACAATAAAAAAATAAGTGTTTAACGCGATTAAAAGTAGCAAAAGGGAAGCAAAAAAACAAATAATTCTTACCTTTTGAAGATTAAATCGATCCCGCAATTAAAATGGCGGATGCTACTCGCAAAGCAATTCGGGATATGCATCAAAAGCATCATGGGAATGAAAAGGAGGAATGGATAAGATACCAACTTAAGAAGATTTACGGAAAAAATAACTTTCATAGAAATTGATTGTAAAAGCTTTAAGAGCTTTACCGCAAATTACACAAAATCTAAGCAGCTAAAAAATCAAGTATTTCAATCATTTAGTACTATTAAATTTTCGGTACAATACTCAAGAAAGAAAGCAAAGCCTCTCAAGACACAGATAATAATAACGTCAAATATAACAATACCGTTTCAAAACATATGTATTTGTATCCAAGATCTTTACTAAAGACTCTCCACTCTGATTAACATTTCTAGACACACACGAAAAAAAAAACACCTATAAAGATTTGTTTGTGTTGATACTGTATTACATTTTAGCCAAATGATTGTATTTTTAGGCATACGAGGAAAAAGTTTAAGGGAGTCATTCAGCATTCCTCAAACCGGTAAACCGTCAAAACTTAAAAGAGTTTTAAACTGTACGTTTTTCATCCGTGAATTAAAGTTTGACTAATCTCCGAATACACTTTTGTCCCTCGCAGCGTATATTTCATTTATGGCGTCAATGCTTCTATTTTTCAATGTATATGTGCAGGAAAATGATAATTATGTCCGAAAAAGAAAACAAAGAAAGGAAGTTAAACAAAACGAAAAAAATAACTGTTATGCTAAGGATTTGATCCATCTACATTTTCGTGTAAGGAAAAGATTCTATGACGGCGGCATTACCGGCATGGCCAAATTAGGGGAGAATACTTTACGTATTAAAAAGTGTTGCATGTAAAACGCTGACATTTCGGTTACTTCCCCCGCGGGCTCTAAATAATCGAGTCGAGCTGCTCGCCGAGAATCCGATATTGAAGTGTCGCTCGCGGCCAACTGCTCGTTAAGTGAGTTGGTGAAGACTGTTTTTGCTATTCCTGGAGCGTGAGTGCAACACAGAGGTAACTGACCAGCATGCTAAAGGTAAAACCAAATTTAACGACCGGGAAACTCTGCTGAGAATACCAACTGATAATTCAGTTGAATATCGTGATTCACTAAGTCATGAAATTATGAAAAGCAGAATGTCAAGGACCACGGTTGACGTTTGTACATGTACACGGAGGTTGCACTGTAGAAGGAAACGTGAAAGAGAACCCTCCAGAATTCAATATAGGAGAGTCATCAAACTGTTCAGAAAACAAAAGTTTTTCGAAATGCAGCTAAATCATACCTTAAAAAAAGCATTCTGAGTTCATCTAAACTAAAATTTTTGCTGTTTGAGCGTAATCGTAGTTATTTCAGTGAACGGTTAGTCAGAACTAAATTTGTATTACCCTCAAAAAAGTTCTCTCTCAGCCAAAATGTGTACCTATCTGTTGTGCGACTGCGAACATGAAAGCATAAAAAGTTGCCCTTATTTTGCATGCGTGTTGACGGGAGAACGTTGAAGAAATTAAAACACATTCCGTTCGAAACTTACTTTGTATCTCACAGAGTCATCTCTCTGAGTGGCGATGTTGAAGAGAATCCAGGGCCATCAAGTCAATGCAGTGCAACCAATACTTGTAATTTAGCAGCATATCGTTCCTCAATGGCTATTTCAGTTTCATTATTGGAATCTAGGTTGTTTGAATTAAATAGAACTGCAGTTGATGTTGGGGGAGGTGGTGACTGCTTTTTTCGAGCTGTTTCACATCAGCTTTATGGCGATCCTAATAACCATCCTCATAGAATTACGGTCAACTCGCCGACGTATAAAATCGAGTAGAGACGTCGGCGAGTTGGTCGTCAATCCAATACAACTTATTAGAAGTTAAACATACAGAAAATTAAACGATATTTAGTAAAAAAACACTGGTGAACATTGGTGAACATCAAACAGAAGCTTAAACATTGGTGAACATTGGTGAACATTATATTACTGAGGCTTTGCAGTAATTTCCCTTTGAACGGACGGTAAATTGCCAATACGTCGCGTAGGGCCGCCTGGATGACACGTTATATGTGAAGCCTTGACTGTCAATCAACCTTGCTTTCTTGCGTTTGCTTCCTTCTCTTACGATGTTGAACGATAATCCCACGGCCTGGGAATCTGCAATAGATAAATCATCATTAACTTTCTAGATTGGAGAAATATTAAAGATTTACGCGATTTTTTTTGTTCGCATGTGTGTGGTTGGATAAGTTGAATCATCTGCTTACAAAATGTATAACATACACCTACCATTGATGGAACTTGGCGTGGGATCATCAATAGAAGTTTCTCCAAGGCTAGCATTCTCTTGACCTAAGTTGGATGACAGATAAAAAATAGTCAAATGAGAGAAAGTGTTTGTGAGAGAAATAAAACCAATGAATTGCAAGCTACTTTGTGGGATTTCCTCCCTAAAAGCATCAGCTGAAGATTACACTGAGATACCATCAGCTTGTAAAGTAAAAATTAACAGCCGTAAATCGGCTTAATTATCTACCTATGAAATTCTCATTTTCGCAGGCTTTATGTTGCCAAATACAGTGGTTATCCAACCATCCAAGAAACCAAGCATCTTCACTGTCAACGACGGGCGTGTTACAAACCATGCAGACTGGATTATCAGACATTTTGGAGTGGATTTCTCGTAATCATAGACTTGCTAACGCAGTTTAATGGAGTCCTCAAAACATACACTGCCTTTTATATCATTGTACCGGATCAAAACTTTCCATTGGTTAAATTTGATTGGATGATATTTACAACAATAAAAAAAAAATTTAGAACAATTTGCTTCGTAAGCACGAAAAACTGAATAATCTCCTCCCTCAATTTTTTAGCAGGAGCTGAGATTTTTTTCGCATAGTCATGTTCTGCTTGTTTCTTTTTTTTTTTTGCTCAACAGGTTACGTGTATATTCAACACGTCACTGACGCTGTCAGATTCATCTTCCAAATTACTGGGCGATCAAATTTCGCGCTACGAAAGTTATCTGTACCTGTTTTTTTTTTCTCCGAAAGAGAATATAAAACCAAAAAAAAATTCGTAACTCCTCCATTGTGAGACTTGTGAGTAGAAATATCACACCCTCGTCTTGCCGCGCGTTTGATTGAAAACTAGAAAACAGCTGTGCGCCAGCGCCTGCTCTCTCCGAAAATTTGGAGAAGCTGTTGATAGCTCCTTACTTTTAACAAAGATTGTTAGAATCCGCTATAAAACTCTGACAGTTTTTAATGGGAGAGACTTACTTTTAAGCCAGACCTGCTTTTTTTTCAAAAGTAAATAAAAAACCTCGCACCTTCTTCGTTGTGAGACTTGTGAGTGAAAAATTATCACACCCTCATCTTTCCACGCATTTGATTGAAAACGAAAATAACTCAAATACATGCTCTTGCAAAAACTACAAATCATTGCTTTGAACAGTGTATCTTGTATTATCAACTTAGTTACACGAATTCGGCACCTTTGCAAAGAAGGATCCTCGTGTTAGGTAAACATGTTGGTTCTAAAAAATGAGCGCCTCGTTTGAAAACAGCTGTGCGCCAGGAAACAAGGTCTTTAATCGCCTCGAGGCTCTCCACAGAAAACCGTCACTTTCGATTGCATTTAACACCAGTAATAAGACCAAAAAATATATTTGTGCGTTGACTTTTTTCCAAGCGTCTTGACTTAAATAAATAAGACCGATTTACATGATTGTCTGTTTAGTAGAACTGAATTTTTCAATGTTAAGATTGCGAGAGTTTGGTGTTGATGACGGTTACAGAATGGTTCAGGAAATACTGCACAATCTGGAACTTTTTTTGCTGTCTAAACAAACTAAGATTTAAATCAACTTTACCTTGGAGACACCACCAATCTCACATTGTACTTTACTTGCAATGAGGATTTGTTCAACCAAGATAACTGTCCTTATGGGGTTGTTGCCTTGTGATGCAGTACAAAGGTTTTTATATCTGAAAATGGTTAGGGGTGATTGACAACAAATTCCCAACAGAAGGAAAGCTGAAATGTGCTGTGGTTCAAGAGGAAAGTCAGTAAGTGAGGATGAACAGAATATTTTATCAGCATGAAGATGAAGGAAATCCATATAAAGCATAAGAGTATTCACTCTTTTAGGGGCAGAATGAAATCCAGTTCTAGTCTTTGGATATTTTTCTTCATGATCCTTTTTCAAACTTATTCATTATTGTCCACTCTTAGTGTTAGAAAATTGTTTTAAGGTTAGAAAATAAAGAATATCTCTGAAAGAGTTTTTGCTTACAATAAATTTTTTTTAATGCTTACAATACAACAACAGAGACATGTGAGGAACTTCTTAAGCGTGCTAAGTTACCTACGCTTCATAATAGACGCTTACAGGACATAGCAATACTAATGTATAAAGTAAAGAACGATCTAGTACCTAGCTACATATCTGAGATATTTACTCGAAAAGGTACTCGTTATAACCTTAGGAATAGTGACTTTGAAATACCACGATTTAATACTATACGCTATGGTAAACACACACTTAGGTAGCATCTTTAAAACTAAAATCCGTAGAGTTGACCTGGCCAGCCTAGTGGAAGACAGTGGCAACTGCTGCAATCTTTGCAGCATGTGATTTTTTCTAATTATATTCATTGTAGAAGTATTTTCATGTTATCTGAACATTGTTAATATTTCTAAATATTTTTAAATTTTAATGCGTAGTTTATCGGCTATATTGTTACTTATTATGATACTGTACATAGTTTTTTATTAATTTTGTAATAGTAGGTGTCCCCAATTAGCTCTATGAGCTAAATACATTGACACGGTAATAAAGATTTTATTATTATTATTATCTTTACGGTGTTGTTGTCACACAATAACTCGTTTGCCTCTGAAGCTGTTATAGTAGTTGGCGCAGTTTATCTTGCTTTATTCGCCTTGAGATCCTTATAAACTTTCCTGGAAGAAAAAAAATTGCTTATTACTAAAGATCTTGTCTAGAAAGCCAAGTTTTCTTTAAAAAATCTGTTGTTGTCACACAACTCATTCGCGTCTAGAGCCAATTTTGTTCATTGGGATGTTAACTTCGCTTTTTTCGCCTTGAGATCCTTATAAACTTTGTTACAAATAAAAATAATCACTTTTTACTAAAGATCTTGTCTAGAAAGCCAAGTTTTCGTTAAAAAATCTGACCGATTGTCATGATGAGTCTACAGTGTTGTTGTCACACAATAACTCGTTCGCGTTTAAAGCTGTTAGAGCTATTGGTGATGTTTACTTCCCTTTATTCGCCTTGAGATCCTTATAAACTTTGTTTCAAATAAAAAGAAATGCTTTTTACTAAAGATCTTGCCTAGAAAGCCAAGTTTTCGTTAAAAAATCTGAGCGATTGACATGATGAGCACAATAACTCGTTCGCGTCTTAAGCTGCTATAGTCATTGGTGATGTTCACCAATTTTCACCGATGTTTAAGCTTCTGTTTGATGTTCACCAATGTTCACCAGTGTTTTTTTTACTGAATATCGTTTACTTTTCTGTATGTTTAACCTCTAATAAGTTGTATTGGATTGAGGACCAACTCGCCGACGTCTCTACTTGATTTTATACGTCGGCGAGTTGGCGTCGGCGAGTTGACTGGTTACCTTCTTATATACATAGCCTTGGTGTCCAGTATTTACTGCAGAATCCTGAACAATTCATAGAGAGTAACACTGATCATTCTTGGCAAGACTATTTGAGCATTATGTCATGTCAGGGAACATGGGCTGATGCAATTATAATTCAAGCAGTGGCCAATTGTCTAAATCTGTCAATTCATATTGCCGAATCATTTGAAACTTTTGCTCCTGTTACTGTTGTTCAAGCAGTGAATGTGACAGGGGAATACACAAACATTTACATTGGACACATAAGTGAAACTCATTATGTTTCTACAGTAGAAAAGAGAAAACGTCGGGTTCCGAACAATAAAACGTGTGATCAAAGTATAGTTGAAAAAAAAATTGATAAACATGAAAAGTTACATGAAAGAGTACATGAGAAAGAGAAGAGCTAATGCAGATTTTAGAAAAAGAGAGAATCAACATTCTGTGCAAAGGTACAACAATACTGAAACAATTAGGGAGAAAAAGAACCAAACTGTCACAAAAAGGAAAATGACCAAACCAGAAAGCTAAGAGAAATTGACAAAAGGTCTAAAAGGAAACGGAAAGCAGAGAACCCAGATCACATAAAGGAAATTGCGAAAAAGTCATCAAGAAGACAAAAAGTTGAGAATTCAGAACAGGTCAGAGAAATTGACAGAAATTCCTTTAGAAAACGTAAAGAAAAGAATCCAGAACATAGAAAAGAAGTTGATAAACAGAGTTTTAGGAAACGGAAAGCAAAAAATCCAGAACATATAAAAGAAGCTGATACACAGAGTTTTAGGAAACGGAAAGCAAAAAATCCAGAACATAGAAAAGAAGTTGATAAACAGAGTTTTAGGATACAGAAGGCAAAAAATCCAGAAGATGGAAAAGAAGGTGATAAACAGAGTTTTTGGAAACGGAAAGCAGATAACCCAGAACACAGTGAGCAAGTAAACAGAAAGTCAGGAGAACTACTAAATTCAAACTATCAAATTATTTAAATATGGCTATACCAGCGACTGAAAATCAATTTGAAAATGCTCAGAAGTCATCACACGTATCAACTAATAATGATCAGTTGTACAAACAGGGAAGAATGAAAGCAGTGGTATTTCTTTAATAAATTTGTTTCACGAAAACATTAAATGTGGCCCAGAATACATATGTACCTGTTGCGACCAGTTGTGGTACAAGTCTTCAGTAGTGAAGTGTAATGCTAATAGGTACAAGGCATGTTCACAAGATCTTGTTGAGTCTTGTGTTACTGGGGTAAGAAGTGTAGAAAATACTGAATGGATTTGCAGAAATTGTGACTCAAATCTCACGAAAGGCAAGCTTCCCAACTTCTCTAAAGCCAATAAAATGAGTTTCCCTAAAAAACCTGACCTGTTAAATTTAACACCATTAGAAGAACGGCTTATATCACCTCGTAGTCGTATTCCATCAGGGGTTACAGATACACTATTACAGGAACCAGATGTAGTAGAAAATGTAGACAGGATAATTTCTTTTGCTCCAGGAGAAGGGATTAGACCATTAGGAATATTTATGGACAAAGATTCTGAGTATTTATCATTTCCCACAATATTCTGTGGAAAAGGGAGACCTGCCAACAATGAAAGAAAGGTCCCTCTATCATACAGTACAATTTGCAAGTGAGAGCTAAGATGCCAGGATAGAAGAGTTGCAATGTCCAAATGTACCAAACATTTTCTATAAGTTAAAAAACTGCAAATCAAACAAATTCAAGATAGTGCTTGTATTTCTCTCAGAAAATGTAAGACAAAAGGGAAAAAGTACACTGCTGGTGAATTGAAGTCAGAGGATTATCTTAATAAGCTTGTACATCTTGATGAAGGTTTCAGAGTTTTAAAAAATCTTAGAGGGTCACCACCTTATTATGAAAAATTTAAAAAAGACTTGTTTGCTATGATTTGTCAACTAGGTAACCCAACATGGTTTTGCTCTTTTTCAGCTGCTGAAACAAGGTGGTCTCATCTTCTCAAAACTTTAGGTAGAATTGTTGAGAAAAAAGAGTACACTGATGATGAAACTAAACAAATGACTTGGGAACAAAAATCAGATCTTATTCAAAAAGATCCTGTCACTTGTGTAAGGAACTTTGACCACATGGTGCAGTTATTTACTTGTGATGTTTTAAAGAGCAATGTAATGCCAATAGGAGAAATAGCTGATTATTTTTACAGAGTTGAATTTCAACAAGAGGAAGCCTTCATATTCATGGTTTATTTTGGTGAAGGAAGCCCCACAATATGAAAAAAGTTCTGATGAGGAAATTGTGAACTTTGTGGAGAAGTATATCACTTGCTATAAACTAGACAGTTCAAGTGAAATGGAAGATCTTGTAAACTTGCAATTGCACAGGCATTCCAAAACATGCAAGAAGGCAGGGCATAACATATGCAGGTTTAATTTTCCATTGCCACCAATGCCAAGGACAATAATTTTAACACCTCTTGAGAATTCCTGCTATGATGAAAAAAACCAGAAAAATATAAAAGAAAATGCTGAAAAAATAAAAGAAGTCCTTGACAACATGAAATGTGGCGAAGAGATCACATTCGAAGATTTTCTTAACAACTTACAATTAACTGAAGAAAGTTACATCTTAGCTGTAAGACACACCCTATAGAGGGTAACATTATGTTTGAAAAGGGCACCATCTGAAATAAGGATAAAAAATTATAACAGTGTTTTACTCAATGCCTGGCAAGCAAACATGGACATTCAATACGTACTAGATCCTTATGCATGTGCTACATACATTCTTTCTTACATTACAAAAGGACAGAGAGGTATGAGCAGGCTTCTAGAGAAGGCATCTGAAGAAGCCCAATCGGGTACTAAAGATATTACAAATAGAGTGAGGCACATTGGAAACAAATTTCTAAATGCAGTTGAAGTCAGTGCCCAAGAAGCTGTTTATCTTGTTTTACAAATGCCCATGAGAAGATCTTCCCGTGCTTTTCAGTTTATTAGTTTGTCACTTCCAGATGACAGGACATTTTTGTTAAAGAAACTGGATAAGCTTAAGGAATTGCCAGACAGTTCACCTGACAGAATCTGACAACATAATTAAGCATTATCAAAGGAGACCAAAACAGCTAGAAAAGTTGCATGGTATAACTGTGATAAAGATGAACATGCTAATCGGAGTGGAAATGGGTCATCAGTCACAGGTCTTGATGACTTCTTACCAGAAACAAGCTTTGATGACAATACTGATAATGACCCTATCAATATTAACGTCAGTGAATGTCAATGTGAGCCACATTAATACAAACTTAAAGGAGGAATAAAACTAGTAAAACGAAAGAAGCCTAAAATCATATGATCTGTTAGGTATAATAAAGACAAGGATCCAGAAAATCATTTTCGAGAACAGCTTATGCTTTATACATCATGGCGAAATGAAACCACTGACTTAATGAAAGAATGTCAAAATTACCAAGAACGATTTGAACAGGTTAAAGATAAAGTTATCAGCAATAGGCTTCAATATGAATACCATTCAGAAATACTAGATAAAGTAATGGAAGATATAAATAATGCTGAATATGACGACTTTGACACTGTTGCTCCAAATGCAGAGCATATCATAAGCAGGATTGTGTTGTCAAGGAGAAGTGTAGTGAATTATTTGGTTGCTTTGATCCTGGGAAAAACAAGGAGCATAACCAGTATGATTTAATTGATGATATTGGAATCTTCCCTAGATGTGATGATGAGGAGGAACTTGTCATAAAGCGGATGTCAGACAATAATTATTATGCACTTGTCCGCTCTTTGAATGGAAAACAGAGACAATTTTTTAATCATGTGTTACATTCAGTAAAAACTAGGGATGACCCTCTTAGATTGTTCTTAAGTGGAGGTGCTGGAGTTGGCAAAAGTACAGTCACCAATGCATTGTATGAAGCATTAATAAGATATCTAAATAGTATTGCTGGGGAAAATCCAGATGATGTTAAAGTTGTAAAAGCAGCTCCTACTGGTAAAGCAGCTTTTAACATTGAAGACATTACATTACATTCTGCTTTTAAGATACCTGCCAATAGAGGTTTTGAGTATTGTGCACTGGACAGCAACAGACTAAATACCATTAGGGCACGACTGAAGAAACGTAAGACAGTTTTTATTGATGAGATATCTATGGTAGGAAGTGGCATGTTTAACTTTTTGAATGCAAGACTGCAACAAATAATAGGAACAAAAGAGCTATTTGGTGGAATTAGTTTAATAACTGTTGGAGATCTTTTCCAGTTAAAACCAGTTTTTGATAAGTGGATCTTTGAAAATTCTGTGATAGGCTACAGTGCTTTAGCAAGTAACATTGGGACAGAGAATTTCACCCTCTTTGAACTGACGGAAATAATGAGACAAAAGGATGACAGAGAATTTGCTGAGCTACTCAATCGCTTGAGAGAAGGAAAACATTCTGAAGATGATGTAGCCATTTTAGAACAGAGACTTCTGAAAGTCAGGCATAACTACCCTATGAAAATGACACATTTATTTACTACAAATGCATCAGTAGATGCTCACAACAACACCCTGTATACTATCTCTAAAACTGATAAAGCTCAGATAAAGGCTGTGGACATTGTATTTGGGGATGTTAATGATGATCTTAAATAACAAATGAAAAACAAAATCCCAGAGGATTCTACAAAATCAATGGGTTTGTATTCACTTGTGTCTGTGGCAACTATGGCAAAATATGACTTGACAACTAATATTGATGTGACTGATGGACTCACTAATTGTGCAGAGTGTATGATAGAGAACATAGACTACAGAGTAGAAAATTCCACCAGGCCAAGTATTATTTGGGTATCATTTCCACATCCTGAAATAGGCAAAAAGCTGCGCAGAGAATATGCACATTTATACAAGAGAAGCATAAATAAAAACTGAACACCAGTTTTAGAAGTAACAAGACAATTCCGGATTAATAAAAAAAGTCAAGTGCAAGTTCTTCGACGGCAATTTCCACTTAGACCTGCAGCTGCTAAGACTATTCATAGCTGTCAAGGTGACTCATTAGATGAAGCAGTTGTTGACTTTCCAGCATCCACAAGGGAGCATATGCATTATGTTGTTTAAGCCGAGTAAGAAACAGTTCTGCACTACATGTTCTCAATTTGAATGAAAACAAAATCAAGGTTAGTGAGAAAGTTAAAGATGAAATGAGGAGACTTAGAACAGAAGCAAGTCTTCTGCCATTAGCAGTATAACAGAATGCAGATTCACCTGAAATAAAAACAATCTTATTTCAAAATATCAGATCTCTCCACCTCCACATTGATGATGTCTGAACTGATTACAATATTCAAAAGGCTGATGTCAACATTTTTGTTTCAACAAAACTTTGCTTGTTAGATAGAGATGATGTGTATCAGCTCAGGGGATTTACACTTTACAGAAATGACTTCAATCACTCCAGTATCAGAACTTGTAACGGAACAGCTGTGTACATAAAGAATAATTTGAACTGCACTCACTTACCGTACAGATTCAACATTAATAATGTTGAAATTACCATTATGGTTCTAAGCCAACCAATTCCAAATAATCATGTTATTGGTATCTACCGCTCCAAAACTAAGGTACCAATTTCAGTTTCTTGATGCTCTTACTCATCTGCATAACTTGGTGTTAACAGACCCCACAATTCCCACTATACTGATGGGAGATTTCAATGTTAATCTAATGGAGGGGTCTGCAGAACAAAAGGCTCTCAAAAAATATCTGATAACAGACAGAGGATACACACAGTTGATTGAGCAGTACACTACTGACTACCGTACACAGATAGATCATATTTATACAAATGTACCACAGCTTATTCAATCTTCAGGTACCTTGGAGTCATACTACAGTGATCATAAGCCCATCTTTATTTCCTCGCTAACTGTTCACAAGTGACTTAAAAGAGAAACGTTATTGAAAGTATGTCCTGAAAAATACATTTGACCTATTTTTTTTTAGAGTTTGTTGTTCACAATGATCAATCTTAGTCATAGCTACCAATGTTTGTTTTTGGTTTTTCATCACATCTTTGATTTTTTCTACCTGTATAAGAACAATTAAATATTCTCTTTATTAAATAAGATTTTCTTCAATTTGAAACCAAGTTTGCATATCAGAAAATGACTTTAAATCTCATTATACATGGGTTGCTGTATACATAGTGTCCAATTTTCTAGCTACAAGACACAAAGAAACATTGCATGTTTATATAAGAAAAACACACTTGGTACGTGTCTGACATCCCTCTCCAAAACAGAGTGATCAACCTGATACAGAGGTGGGTAACTTCTTTGATTATAATGTCTGATAAGAGAGTGGGGTGTGGGTGGGCCAACAACTTTACTAAAACAATTGTTGTTAACACTTGTTGTATCTTCTTGTAAAATTGCAGATCATTCTGAGCTTATATCACATACATTGGCAACTGGACTATGGAAACTACTAATACACTGTAACAAGTGGAATGATATACAGTCATGTAGTTACTTGCTCGTGGTAATTGACAGAGATGTACAGCACTGCAGCTGACTACATTCACTCTGGATTTAGTACCAGTTACTGTATCTAAAGCCACAAATAAATGAACAGTGTGAAAAATGCAAGCACAGCATCACTGGAGTTCATGCAGTTAATAACACAAATTATAAAGTAAGAAGTACATGTATTATATTTGTTGGAACTTTTTCTGTCTACGTCACTAAAAACAACGATGTGGTCTTGAGAACTTAACATCAAATAATGTATTCAGCAGCTTCCATCCATTCATTAGTTATATTCATACTAACACCATGAACTTCTATCATGACTATTTCAACTAGTAACAATAACGTTTTGTACAATAGTTGAATTGTAATCTGTGCACTTTCAACTATTTGGACCCTGTGATTGCCTTCCTCAGAATTATTTGTTAAATAAATTGGCTTGTTAAGGCTTTGTATGAAGCACTGATACTGGTAAGTGCCAGTTTTATTTTATCGTAGTCATAATTACCACAACAAACCAGTTGATGTAAACCACCGTAAATGTAATCAATTTACTGCCAGACTGCTGAATAATCAAAGATTTGAGGAGAATATTTGATACTTTCAGTTAGCTTGAGTTCGCCTGATCTCATAGTTTGACCCTCCTTCATAGTAAATCTAGTAATTCCTTGTAAACTAATTTAATGCATAATGGCTTGAGTTGCCATTGGTAAACAACCAGTTTTACTGGCAGACATATTTTCAAAAAACCAAGTAGAAATATACATCTTATATTTATCTGCGCCATTTCCTTGATTACGCTCAAATCTGGGTGAGTCACTTGCAGCTGATTGTAATCTATACTGTGTGATTTTACAATCAACCCTCCTTCATAGTGCAAATCTTACTAGCTCCTAAAGGTGCATTAATCTTCTTGGAAATATTTGGAAGTCCTTTAGAACAATTTGAAATTTTCACTAAGGAGCCACAAGTCTTTGGCTGATCGGAAGTCCCTGAATAATAAATTATCAAAAACATTCACCATTCTTAACTCACTTTCTCATTGCTTTTCCACACCCTGTCGGAGGGGACTCCCTTGTGAAAAAATCGGGGATGTTTTCTCGCTTAACAAGGGTGCAAATCTCACTAAGGGTGCCTCTAATTTTTAGTCATCAGTACTTTTTGGGGTTGCTCACAAAAATTAAAATATAAGGAGAAATGCTGTCATTGTAGCCCATGTTTAAGTGATATTTCGTTTTTCGGTTCTAACAGAAAATCAAGAACTGTTTTGAATAAAGCTTTCTTCCCGAAACGTTCCTTGGTCAGTTTCGTCTTTCTTCCCGTTCATAAATTTCATGTAACACGAGATCTCCCCACACACTGATAAATTTGCATATTCACTTTGCAATCCGATCTGCATACTTGTTTGCACACGTGCGCAAAAATTTGTTGATTTTTATCTTTGATCTTGATTTTACAGTAAAAACTAAATATGCATCTATCGCTCTTTTCGTTGAAACTAAGTTATTTAAATTGTCTTCTTTCACTTGAGCTTGTTTTTGGGAAAAGATGATTGAAAAAACTTTACTGCGCATTGTGTTAACTTTTCCGGTTTCTCCAAAATTTTAACTTTTGGATTAGTCTGGGTGCTAAAGTTATTCCGGGGGCATTTTTGGAAGAAAGCAAGCCAGTGGCCTAACATGGTTCACTAGACCACAAGGAATCTAAAAATCGTTGTTGACAATTTTGTTAAGTGATCAGACGGTAATTATGGGGTATTGAAAAAGGACCTACCTGATTCAGCATGGAAACGAGGCTGAGAAGCTACAAGGGGCCATTATTTCTCTCCAATTCAGTGAAACCCACCCAAATTCACCAGATACAACAAGTAAGCAACCTTGAAGCCAAAAAACTAGTTTATTTTATTAACAAGGGTCACGTGATCGATCTAGCATGAAAGCGAGGCTAGTAAGTTTAGCATGAAAGTAACATTAGCCCATACCGCGGACTCGTGTCCTAACTCCTGAAATTTAATTGTGAAACAGTCCAGATGCCAGGAAATCGACTGTGTTTATTAATGAAAGTCACGTGATTGACTAAGCATGATAACGAGGCTCATAACTCGCGATTAATGACATGAAAACACTTATTCTTGATGCTGGCCAAAATCGCCTTAATTTACAAAGCTGTGACCTTTAAAGCCAACCAAGAGGGCTGTTTACACTAAATTTCTGCTGTAACATCATGAACTAACGATGACAACGAGGCTTATTAATTACATTAAGCCTTACTCTGTCCCGTAAACCATAAATAATAATAGCAATCGCCGGTCCTTGGTGAGATTAAAATATACAAACTATACTATCACCGTGTTAACTTACTAGAAAAAATTAAATGCTTTCAACTGGGCACAAAGTTGTGTTTAGTTGTCAGTCACCTTATATCTTTCATATTTCTTACTGATATATCGAAGGTAACGTTAACCTACAAAGTAAGACAGCTTCATTTACAGGAACACATAAAAATGTATCAGCATTAATTCAAGGTACATCTGTTAATTTTCTTTATTCTTCATGTCATCCTATTCGTCATCACATTCTTCATTGTCATCTACCACATCACTGAAAACATTCTGGCAGGGTTTATCCTCTTCATCACAGCGAGAGCAAAGGTCTGTGCATGGCAATCCATTTCTGCGGCACTGGCATCGGTTGCTTGCGCACTGCTTGGTGCATCCGCATTTGACTAGCTGAGTTATGGCCTATGCTGCTGGCAGCAGCCTCGTCATTACTGGAAACCATCTGTTGTCACTTTTCTCCCACCCATAGTTTTCAGGAGACGGAATGTTAGGGTTTGCCACAACATCGTTGTCCCAAACAATAGCTTGATAGTGGGCTCGTAGAACAGCTTGAAGAAGAGCACCTCGGGTTGGTGGCAGTCTTTCTGACTGTGCTTGCTTCTTACGAAATAACAACCATCGAAGTTCTTTCACGGTGGTAAGCGATGTATTTCGAACATAGAGTTCGCAAACAAACTTCTCAATGGCCTTTATGGTTTCTTCAGATGGTGTTAATGTTGTTCCCAGCTTGGCCATCTCTCTGACAACATCTTCATCAACATTCAGAAATGCTTTCCAACACAAAGGTTTTCCATGGCCTGAAAAGCATCCGGTGTTATCTGCTCCACTGAGTGCATGGAACGCGTGAAGAGCAGCTGTCCCGGCTTCCCCGAGAGCCTGAACTTTTGGTTCTAGCCTAATTTCTCTGCGGTTGCGCCCCTTTCCTGTAACGAATGAAACATTGCTACACAGCTCTGGAAACCGTCTTAAAGCAAGAACAAAGACATCAGTGTCAGGGGAGTGGACATGGATCTCCATTGCACCATCCGATGTGGCATCAACGGCATGAAGGATGATCTTTGTGTCCGCTTCTTCTTGGTTGCTCTGAAGATTTCCAACATCTTTGAAGGTCGCCTTACATTCACTGCCCCATGCAACAAGAAATCGCCGACCACTCTGTCCCCTGAAGTGCCTGAATGCTTTGTCTGCGAGGTAGGTGGTGAGTTCCATCTTCGTCTTCGTATGCGGCAGAAGCTTCTTCATCGAAACTCTTGAGATGTTGGTGGAATCTGTGATTCGATAATAGAAGGGATCCTGTCCTCCTTGCCTTTTCTCTCTGGTGGCTTCTTTTGACGACATGGGTAAGTCATACCAATCAAAAATCAGGCGAATTTCATCCTTCCTGCCTTACTTCTGTTCGATTGTGTCGACGAAGTGAATAGCAAGCTGCTCGCAGTTCTTCACCCATTCCAGCTTGTCTAGGCACTGGAGCTCTGCCATACCATCAATGATGATCACTTTCAAATGCGACTGAGCTGCATTTGTTGTTGTGCCGTCACTAATGCTTCTCTGATCGGCTGATCTGGATGGGGGCTTCTCTAATATAGCCATAAGCGCACTTTTAGCAGAGCAACGCAGCATGGATCCATCTGCCGCAAACATTGACCTGGGCACTAATGCAAACTCATACATTCCTATAGTCTCCTGGACGTTAATACCTGGGCGACTTCTGCATACCATCATCATCCTGGCAAACAGGGACCGGTCTTCCTGCAGCTCCACCACCGTCTCCTTTGTCGACACTTTCATCTTCTTTGCATTGGTTTTCCACGTGGAAAGCTTACGATTCTTTAATGTAGACCAAATGTTTACCTTCTCAGATTGAATGCGTTCTTTGACAAATGTATCAAACAACGCCTGTCCTATTGCAGCTTGACTGCACAGGTCTGCCTTGATGTTATCAGGCAATACCACTTTGGTAACAAGGTTGAAGAGATCAGAGCTTTCATCAGCAAAAGGGTTGGTGAAGGTCTCAATGGTCTCGATCAACGCTTTGATGTTCTTGTCTTCTCGGGAAAGTACAGCTGGCGTATGGTTGTGATGTCGCGTTTGGATCTTAGAAGCTACTCCTGCCATATCCTTTGCTTGCCCTGAAAGATTTGCCATTTCTGGAGCAATGAGAAAAAACTTGTTCCGTGCAGTTTGGTTAAGTGTGATTCCTACCAGCCCTCCGTGTACTTTCATTGAACGATTGACATGTTCGAGCGCATGATCTGCACCAAGTGCACAGAATGGTATGTTGGTGTTTTTGTTTACAACCCAGTTTCCCGAAAGGAACTCGGCGTAGACATCTGGATCGGTTTCGGGTAAGGAATTCATTTCTGCTAGATACAGTGGTACCATTCGTGCATAGTTCAAGCAATCATGCGCGAAGAAGATCTGGTGTATTTGGTGAAGATCTGCAGGGCTTGAAGGTGTAGTTTCCAGTCACCCATACGTACTGCTCTGATAAATTGAAGCATCTCCATTACCATGCGCATATACTGTCTTGTCACCTTGAACAACGGGTGCTGATCTCGCTTTGCGTCAAATTCTGCCATCTTCTCTAAGAGACGTTGGTTCTCAATAGCACTCATCAACTTAGTGTTTGCTTCCTTCAGTTCAATATTCGCTGCTTGTTCGCACGCGTCAGCAACCTCTCTTGAGAGATCTGCAATATCCTTCGTATCTTCTAAGAAATATATTGGAACAGACCTGACTTTTAACCACTGCACGCAAAATTTTGTCCCCTGTTTGTTTTGAAGAAGGCAGATCTTACATGGACTAACAGCACCTGACTTTGTATTAAATATAGTAGCTGATGCCATGATTGCTTACCTTAACTCCTGCTTTTCATCTTGTGGATCCTTCCTCTGGTAGATTGCCATAGCAGTTCCATGGAGAGTGTGCTGTCCATCATATGTGTCTTCAGCAAAATCTACATTATCCACAGCAAAAAATACATGGCGCCCCTTGATGATATCAGGCGGAAGGTAGACACCTCCATTTTCTTCCATTCGTTTCAGAACAGTAGCCTCTATCTGAGCTTCCACTCTCATCAACCTGTTGTACTCAACTGCCATTCCGAATCCATGAAGCATATTCACTAGCTCTTTGCTTCGGGTAAGCTGATGCACGGCCAGTCCCACAGCTAACTGTTGCGGCATCTCCCTCGACAGGCGCAGTGTTAGGGACTTGTTGCTGGTCTGCCTCTCTGTAAGACACATGGATACTGCCGTTTGGCACAAACTCATAGCACGCTTCTTCACGTCTTCTGTCTTCTCCTTATTTAACGTATCAGTTTTTGGACCTTGAATAAGCCATACGCAAAACCGATAAAGTTCCTCTGGTACAATATCACCTTTGGGGGCTTCGAGTGGCCCAGTAAATTCCCACCGTCTAGATCTATTGATGGCTTTCCTTAGAGCGGCAGCAGCATCAAACAATGCTTTCATTTCTTTGTTACATTGAGCCTAGATATCTTCAGACAACTGAATGGCTTCCTCTCGAGTTTCCTTTATGGTAACCCTCTCAGCCTCATTCAGTCGTTTTGGTTTGTGAAACTCGATGTCGGAAATTTCACTCAGTAGTAAAAGTTTTAGTGCTTTTCGACTGCATGTTGCATTAGAAACATCATTTGCTCTTAACACTTCTTCAAAAGTGCTTTGCAGGTCAGACATTGTAAGGATCTTTCCTTCTCTTAATACTGTCTCTGTCATGGCGAGGAACTCAATTCTTGCCGCCGCTTCACTAACTAAATCTGAGCTACATTTATCAGATGCCGAAGCTTTCTTTATTACATTTGTAACGTTTTTAAGCCAACAGTTCTTGTGATATTTTATATCAATGGCATGTGCATCAGTTGCGTCCAAGGATGTGCTAAGTTTCACTCCCAAGACATCGTTTCCTGATAAGTTAATTGCTTCGTTTAATGATTCGCCAGCAGAAAACGTGCTAACATTGTGCAGAGGTTGTTTAACACTCCCTTTCTCCTCACAAAAGAAACACACATTTTTGTCATATGGCGACGTTTGGGAGCGGGTAAGCTGCGAAGGCTCTTTGACTTTTCTTTTTGCCTCGTTGGGACCCTCAAGATGTCTCTCGTACCTGAGTGTAAATGTTACTGCTCATCAGATCTTCCATTAGACAATCATGGTACATTTAATTTAGTCTCTACAGTTTCTACATTATTAATACTAGAACATTGTTTGACAAGAGCAATAAATATACCTTTCCTTGGCTCTTTTTAGCAGTTCAGTATGCACAATTTCCTGATAGCAGCTTCTGTGCCATGATGCTTTTCTCTCTGTCAACTCATTTATTGAAACTGATTTTAGTTTTGACCACAAATCAAAACATCGTAAATCACCGTATTTTGCCCATTCCTCTACAAATTTCAACAATGTTTCATGTGAACTTGGATTGTGTACAAGCTGTTCACTTTTCTCCTTTTGGCATATTAAACAAAGGCTGAAATCAGCCATATCTACAACTCTACATTATCTGGAAGTTCAATATGGCGGACTACTTCTACGATGAAAAAGTCAGCTGACCAGTACGTACTGCCAAAACTGAGGTCCCAGTCTTTTTTCATAATTAACACATGGTGGAACTTTTCATTGCTAAAATATATTCTAATGTAAACTGCTTCATAAAGTGCCTGCTTATTAAAAAAAATAGAATAGGAATGCGAAAAGAATATATATATTTTTTATAAATATGGGGGTTTTCTTCCCGAAATTTTAGGCCTGGGTTTTTTAAGTTAGCAGCCTTGTTTCCTTAATTAATAAAAAAAAAAAAGCAAAAACAAAACAAAACAAAAAAACAATTTTCTGGCATCAGAACTCTCATAATTATATTTAAGGAGTTGGGCCACGAGTCCGGGATATGCGCTGACCTTCATTTCATGCTCAGCTTACAGCCTCGCTTTCATGCTAGATAGATCACGTGACCTCTGCTAATGAATTAAACTAATCCGTTGGCTTCGGGGTTGCTTGCTTATTGTACCTGGTGAATTTGGTTGAGTTTCCCTGAATTAGAAAGAAATAATGGCCCTTTATAGTTTTTAGCCTCGTTTTCATGCTGCATCAGCTAGGCCCTTTTTAAACACGCCATAATTATCCTCTGAACGCTTAACAAAATTGTCAACAACGTTTTCAGGAATCCTGGTGATCCAATGAACACTACTTGGCTAATGATTTGCTTTCTTCCAAAAAAACCTACGGGAATTATTTATCAGACATATGCTCCTGGACTAATAGGCACGTGTTACACGCAGGTGTCAATGTGTTAAGGAAAGATGATTTTTATCACAGATTTCCTAACAAATTCAGTACAAAAAGTAAAGTGACACCAGAAAAACTCAGAGACTTCACAGTGAACTGTTGTTTTTATTGTAACTTCGTTTATAATTTCATACACCAAGACTCCTTATTCGTAAAGGAGGAATTGTAAAATCTGACTGGTCTCTAGGGAAATCCAAGCATAATGTAACAGTCGGAATGGAGAATAGAAACTGACACTGAAATCAATCAACATGACCAGCTCTTTTAAATACTTTAACTTTTTAAACTTCGCTTACCGTTGTTTCTTGTCATTTCTGCGGCCGATTTTAAGTTATTGACTGTACCATAAAAAACCTAAAATACCTCAGATCTCGTTTAAACACTGTACAACAAATATTAACAAGAATTAGTATTAAGCCTTATCTTAAAGAGGGAAGTAGTAATATTCTAATCACTGAATTTACATTAGTTGATTTCGCTTCACTTCCTAGTCTCCATACAAACTCCAACACTGCACTTGAATCTCCCGTGAGCTAATATAGATTACAACAGCTGAAAAATCCATATAAAAAATTTAAACGATCAATCCTTCACAACATGAGACTTCCTGGAAGTATCAAAACAAATGGGAACTGACAAATCTAAGACTGCGTGACACCGCATGTTTATTTTCAAACTTCGAGTCCTCATTAAAAAAAACAATTTTACTCTCTTTTACTGCGCTTTAGTACATATTGGAGCAGCTTAAACCTACATTTGATCATACCACTAAAGCACTGACAGAATTCTGCATAAATTCATTTCTCTTTCACCGTTTCATTTCGTGAGTGAGATCAAAACGGATATTTCAAAAAATAATATCTCGCAGACTGGTGATTAATCGAGACCTAAACTAGTATCAAGCGGCAAAACATAAAACAAACGCGTGCACAACCCGCCAAAATAATGCAAAGCCACCTAAAAGTAAACATCCAGCGTCGCGCAGTCTCGTGCGCTTTTTATCAGTTGACTCAACGAAAATTAATTTAACGTTGCGCGAAATCCTTTAAGATCTGCCCTTGTCACTCTCGAACATGTAAAAATGAGCCTTAATTTATTCAGGAATGCTGACAAACTCTTTCAAAGGAAAAGACTCCAATAACTTCAAGGCCTTAATACCATTTGAAGCTAAGGCTAACGCTTTGAAAAATAACATTTAAGCTCCTGGCTGAAGTGATGTATAGTTCAAAACGACTACAGTGCCGTGACAACAACCAAAATAAAAATAAGCTTACATTTGTCTCACGTCCTTTTAAATGTAAACGGCACAGAACAACAACAACACAGTTTGTCTATCCTCGGACTTACTTTGCAGCGACTGCATTTAGGACAATACATGTGTCACTGTTATACGTAATCGCAACGTTTTCCATTAAAAGCAACATCTCTTCCACTTCACCATCAGTAAGATTCTTGCAGTCGGGGACCAGTTTTTCCAAAACATCGTTGAACACGGTAACGTGTTGTTAACTTGCTTGCTGCCATTTTTGGCGACCGAGGGATCAAGGGTTTTAGAGAAAAAGGAGAATGAAACGCAGGTATCAAAAACTGTGTTCAGCCACCTTAAGTATCAGCAAACACACATTCTGCCAGCATACACGATATACATTTATTCAGTACTGAGTTGGCAATGCATTACAGGGCAATTTCAAATATGGCTGCTTTTGGCTGTTTTGTGACCGGAGAGAGACTTTGTTGCCATGTTTTGACTCATATTTCTCACGACAAAAGCGAAAAAAGACCAGATTAACAGTTGTTTTCACTTTAGTTTATTGTGTGACAGATTTTATGACCGTTTCCATGCGAAACATCTCAGCCGGTCAGAATGACCGCGAGTCAAGAAAAGCCTCAAATTTACTCAGTGGCATTGCCCCCGGACATGTCCACGATGACCGGCGATGGTCGTACAGGCTTGTCAATGAAAATTTTTATTACTTTGTTTCTTTGCTACATTAGCGAACACTGTACTACTGCTCGTACTCTGAATATGACAATCAACCCCAAAATTCCCCAAACCAGATAACATTAAACATAATCCAAAAAAAATCCTATAAGTCATCTGTCAGTTCATGAGTTTGATCACAGAGCACTTTGATTCTTCTTGCGTTACCATGCTGATACCCCCTGCCTTCTGCTGAGTTATCCCGGAACTGGCTAAGAGGGAGAAATAAGGCAGAATTTCTCCATCCAAGTTCACAGTGTTAAATGAGTACCGCCAGTTGAGACCGTCAGCAAACGAGAGGTTTCTACCATTTGAAAATAAGCATCCACTGAAAAACACGCATTCGTAAAAATAGCAAACGGTTTGTCCAAAAGAAAGAAGTTCTTCTTTTATTGATTGGATCAATTTTTTTCTGAATAACTGATTTGAACTAGAAAAGAGTACGATTAATGAATTTATGTAACTAAGAATGAACGATTACGTAACGCGACGCCGAGAACAAAAAACTACGAATACTTTAAACAACAAACTAAACATGATGAAATAACCAGAATTTAGAAAAAATATGCGGAAAAATTTACTTCTTGTGGCTACAAGGAGTTGAAAAAACAGAAGTTCTTTGGATACGCTAACTAAAGAGATAAACCCAAATTCTTTTGCCCCATAAAAATTTTACTTAGGCACATGTTAAAGTTAAGGCTTTCGACGCATCTCACATGGTTTCCGTTAAAAAAAGAAATGAAAGTATCCATAGGTTGCTTTGGGGTAACAAGGGTGAACAAATTCAACGAACTGAAACGATAACGGATTACCATGACTTTAGGGAATCTAAGAAAGCTTTGAAAATTACATGGATACTTAAACATTTTTCTTATTGTAAATCTAAATGGAAATCCTTCTGCACTTTATACCTATCTAAGGTCAGAGGAATACTAGTTTTTATTTGTTACTCAGCTAAAAAAACATAAATCGCGACTCCCCTTCTTCACTGTCAAATATGGCTGTTTATAAATTTTGTCCAACTCATTCCTTTTGTGAATATTACGGTGAGACATCGGCCATAAAATGGGCTATAAAGGCCCCAAAAATCGAGATAGTGCAAGCAGAGCTAAGTTCAACCAACAAACCGAGCCAACAAGATATTTATTATTAAGAAATGTACCATTTCTGAGAAAAACCGAGAAAAATTGATTATTGACTGTGTCTGAAGGTGTCGGGAGCATTGATTGGAGGCCGATTTATTTCAGTACCCAAGAAAGTATGAAAGTCGGGTTCTTTTAGGTTAAGTTCTTTCCCAAAAGAGTTGGTTCACACTTTTTTCTGTCTTAAATTTATGTTTAGGACAAAGATCTCTGTTGCTTTTGTGAAAACGCCTAGGAAACGCTTATCCGCCAGTTCTGGGGTTGGCCAGTAACAAATCATTATAGGAATAGCGTGCATAATTCATAAGTTTAGGTTAATTCGATACAAGCCTTTCATGTTAAAAAAACTAACGGTACCGCAAACCGTGTATGTATTGTATCGTTTTTTGTTTTTTGTTTTTTTTTCTGTGTGTGTTTTGTGCTTTCCAGTATCATTGATATTTAAAAAAATCGTACTAGTTTATCCCATTTATTGTTAGCTGTTCTGTAACCTTTCTTGTTGTTAACATGCTGTGTTAAAGTAAGAGTATGGCAAGCCAATTGTAGCAATATTCAATACTAAAATTCAATTTCAATTCAAGTTCAATTCAATTTCAATTCAATTTCAATTCAATTTCAATTCAATTTCAATTCAATTTCAATTCAATGAAAATTCAATGAAAATTCAATGAAAATTCAATGAAAATTCAATGAAAATTCAAGTTCAATTCAGTGAAATTCAAGTTCAATTCAATGAAATTCAAGTTCAATTCAGTGAAAATTCAATTTCAATTCAATTTCAATTCAATGAATTTCAAGTTCAATTCAATGAAAATTCAAGTTCATTTCAATGAAAATTCAATTTCAATTCAATGAAAAAAACAAACATTCAAAATTGCTTCCGGTTAGTAACCGGAAATGATAACTAGCATACGGGAACTTTAAGGCTTTATGTTTTCGCTCGCGCGGTAAATTTAACTAGCATAATGGCGGACGTAGAGCCAGAATTTGACGTGGAAAAAGACTTACCTGAATTTTTATCGTCAGTGCTCGATAGAACAGGGCAGTGTATACATAATAGTGAAACGGATATCAGTGACGTGCAAGCACAATCTGTAGTTCTCGATCGAACCGTTAGTCTTTTGAGTTCTATTGCCTTAACTGACATTGAGCAAGATCGGATCGAGTGGGAATCTCTAGCTACTGCGTTTGCAGAAGTACTACGGGTTATTGAAAATCATCTCAAAACTCTAGCAGTAAAACCTTCATCAATTTCTCGACATAAATGTAAAATTCTCAGAACGGGAAATCCTGGGAGACCACAGTTCCTTATATCTCCTGACACGTTAGAAGATCTTCTCGGACTTGGATTTTCATTGGAAAAAATTTCTTTGTTGTTTGGTGTGTCTCGTTGGACAATTTATCGTAGAGTAAAATCATATGGCTTGCAAAGCACGGCGAATTTTAGTTTGTTGCCGGATACAGAATTGGATGAATTACTTTTAGAGTATATTGCTCGTCATGGATTAACAACCGGGCGAACATATTTAGCCGGGTACCTTAAGTCACTTGGACTGAGGATTCAAAGAAGAAGAATTCGCGAGTGTTTAGCAAGGGTGGATCCAGCGAATACTGCCTTGAGGTGGGGAATGGTTATTTCTCGTAGGCAATACTCCGTGCCATGGCCAAATTCTCTGTGGCATTTAGATGGTCATCATTCTCTCATTCGCTGGGGTTTTGTAATCCACGGATGCATGGATGGTTTCTCTAGAAGAGTTGTGTTTCTTAGATGTAGTAATAATAATCTTTCATAAACTGTTCTGGAACTCTTTCTGAAAGCAATTGAAAAAGATGGGTTGTGGCCATCACGTATTCGTGTGGATTATGGTGTGGAAAATGTATTAGTTTGTGATGCTATGGTGGAAGCAAGAGGTGAAGGTAGAGGGAGTTTCATTGCCGGTCCCTCAACGAGAAATCAGAGAATTGAAAGACTCTGGAGGGACGTCTTCAGGTGTGTGTGTCATCTTTTCTACTACGTGTTTTACGCAATGGAGGATACAGGCCTGCTTAACGTTGACAATGCAACGGATATGTTTGCGCTACATTTGACATTCCTCCCAAGAATAAACCTTGCGCTTCACGAATATATGGAGGCCTTCAACCATCACAAGGTAAGGACAGCAAACCATTGGTCCTCATATCAGATGTGGGTCAATGGCATGTTAAATGAAGACAACCCCTTGGTACATGGGCAATTAGATGAGGATCCTGATGACCTGGAGTTCTATGGTGTTGACCCAGATGGGCCATCTCCATTTGAAGATAGCAACAACAATGTTGTTGTTCCTCCAGTGACATTACCAGTTGAACATCAGTCAGTTCAAGCCAAAGTTCTTGAGCAGATCGATCCATTCATGTCATCGATGCAAATGGGCATAGATATCTACACTAACATTCACCAGATAGTAAAGGAGAGCGTTGAAAACTGTTAATAACACTATACCTTTTTGGTAAATCATGTGGCCATCTTCAGTTGCTGCGTGGGATGTGCAGACAGTAAAGTTAACAATTGAGTGTCAATATTAATCAAATGCAAAATGAACATGCAACAGGGTTTGATATGGTTACCTAATTGTCAAAGAAATTCAGTATTCAACACCAGTATAAAAGATGACTTAAACTTCAACTTTATTCAGGTACCTTAAAACAGAAACTCTTTTACTTATTTAAGCAGCTGTCTATTTTTGATAGCACAGGTATGATCCTCACATTTCAACAGATACAATGCTACAATCAAGCAGTGAAAGTTCTTTTGTCTAGCAACAAATTAAAAAAGTATTTTTGTTGAAGATTTTCTTCAATTTTTAAGTCTTTGCTAAAAGACACAGACAGCTAATTCACAAATAAAACACAACTTATGTCCTCCCCCATTTTCTAGAAACCATTGCACAACTTAGTAATCAATTTTTTGACTGAGTACTTCATTCTTTCCCATGAATTGTTATGAGTGCAATGACTGAATGAGCATTGGCTCCTGAAAATACTTTTAGCACAGACTGAAACACTTCACAATTCTTAAGATAAAACCCCATTTTAAATCAACTGTTGAATTGTTATTTGTGACAAATCGTTGTGCAGCACAATTATAAGGCACCACTAAACATTACCTTTTTATAATGCAAGTGGTCCAAAGAAAGCAATTTTTGCAACTCAACATGTTTTAATATACATTTAAAATATAAATTTAAACATCTTACACAATTTCAGCTGGAAATACAACAATTTAGGCCCAGTCTTTAGAGTCCATTGTTGAAATGATACCCAAGATATTGGCCAAGCCCAGCAAAACATAACGCCTTTAAATGTAGCACCCCTTTGCCCACCATCTCAACTATGTGCCATATGGTCAAAACATCTGGAAGTGATGTTTCATCACTTGTTTCACTTGTAAACATTTACCAAAACGATGAGCTAGAAATCATTGTATTCACAACTTAATAGAATCTAAATTTACAGATTTCCAAAAAATGCATTTGCAAAGGCTAAATCATAAAGATTGAAGAGTTGTTCCTCACTTGGCAGCAATACATCCTTTGCACGTCTTGGTAAATACAATATATTTGCACAAGTGTTTGCAGTAGGTAGAAATGGGCATTCTGTGTGAGAGTTTGTGCCATGGCTTGCTGCCTCAACAAATTCTATACAAGGTGCAACACCAAACCCAAGTGGGGGCTCTTCATCAGTACCAGTGACAAACTGAAGTATATGTCCCAGGGTGATTGACCCCCTTTGCCCACTTGCTGCTAGCCTGGTGTATTTAGAAAACAAATCATAAATTTCTGATTTGAAACGGTGTACATTGCTACCCCCTTCAGAGAAATTTGGTGGGTGGGAGAAGGACAATCAACTTTCTTCTTGACAAGGCTGAACTTTCTGAAGGTCTGAAAAGGTGAAGGAAGTTAGGTATACCATTTCCTATTTGATAAAGCCCCAGGGTTTTAAAGCCAAAGCGAAGCTTTGAGATACAAGGATTTGATGGCTCTCCAGAAGAAAAAAGGGCCTGGAGATGATCTTCTTTTAAAAATCTAGGGATACTACCATTCTGCAAAGTGCTAAGGACCATTATTAACCCAATGGTTGAATAGTCATTAGAAAGATGGTCTTTGAGGCCATTGTCAAAGTACTTAGCTTTGATCTCTCGTAAACACAGGCAAAAGAACTCTTTCCGTGGACCACCATAATTCTCAGCACTCTCACCATAAAATCCAACTGCAAGTGTTAGTCTGGGGTCCTTTAAAAATTGCACTTCTTCCATAGCTGATCTCAAAACATCTTGTCGATTGATTAAGATGAAGTTGGTTTCTCCTTCCAGATTTACAGTTACATCTTGCACATCCAGTGGTCTCCCAGTCACAATCGGACTTTGTGCATAGTGCAAAATTTCAGCAGGATTTTCAATACCATTAGATTTACAGTAATTTACACAATCCTTGGCCAGAAGATCCACAGACTGATTTTCAGTGTAATCAGGTTCTGTCTTCTCCCTTTTTGACTCAATTCCTGTACTGCTCTCTTCAAAGGTGGATACTGATTGCATTCCTGTTTGTTTCTGTTGTTCAGGAGTTTGTTGACTAAGCATTTCTGCACAAAAAAATATATGTATAAGAATGAAAAGAACTGACTTTTTTGGTTCTTTTCTGTAAATGTTTAACGACACTTTCCACTGTGAGAAAAACAAATAACCAGGAGACTTTTTACTACAATTAAAAAGTTGATTAAGATGTGAAGAAAGTTTTGATGTAAATAACTAACTAACTTTATTTAACAAGGGTAAAACACATTACAGTCATAGGCTGACAAACCTGTGGCCCTCCCTAGATTATGTCAAAATTAGGTTGTTGCCATGGACAAATGGTCACAATGAGGCCAAGGAAAAACAAGTTACAATAAATTACTCTTAATAACAACCCAGTTTTAAAACTTTGCCTTAAAAATTTTAAAAACACAACAAAATTTACCTGGCAAATCATCATCTTCGATTAAGCTATTCCCATCGTCATCACAAATTATACAGTTCAGTTCACTTTTCATTTTAATGTAAATGGCTCCTTGCCCGCAGAGCAATTTCACTTGTTTGTACGTGTATTCTTCACAACTAACAGGTGTGCTTAACTTTCGCCGGTTTGCTCGAAGAAACACAAAATCTCTGTTGCCAACTAACGGATATTTTAGTCTGATGACCAATTTTGGATCGGATGTCGTCCTCTCCATCTGTATTAACTAAATTAACATCCTCTTAACAAAATATTATCGTGGTTAATTGACAAACTTTCTTCTTCGTCGTCATCCCCCACGTGCATAAGAGCAAATTCAAACGGTTTAGATTGTTCTGGAGTTGTTTTTTGTTTCTTTCCTCTGTTACTGGTAGGAACGGACGGTGATGCTGATCGAAGTCGCTCCCGTTGGCTCAAGCGAGAACACAATCCTGTACTTCGACTTCTTTGCAACATGGATCGAGCTCGCTCGACGGCACTAGCAACATTGTTAGTTGAACTTAAGTTATTTTCAGACACGACTTGAGTGACTGAGTCCGGAACTTTCGTATTTGAGCTTGAACTAGAGCTTGCTAACACTTGTGACACGAGTCTTGAGCACTCGCCCAACGAATCGGCAAGGTTTCGAAGATGTTCCTCCATTTTGTTGGTTAAAAAATGGCAGGAAAAGCGTTTGGAAGCGGATTCCCGTATGTTTGATCCAAGATGCTTTGCGCATAGTCTACACTGAATTAAAATTGAATTGAAATTGAATTTTCACTGAATTGAACTTGAATTTCATTGAATTGAACTTGAATTTCACTGAATTGAACTTGAATTTTCATGGAATTTTCATTGAATTTTCATTGAATTTCCATTGAATTGAAGTTGAATTGAAATTGAATTTCATTGAATTGAACTTGAATTTCATTGAATTGAACTTGAATCTCATTGAATTGAAATTGAATTTCATTGAATTGAAATTGAATTGAAATTGAATTGAAATTGAATTGAAATTGAATTGAAATTGAATTGAAATTGAATTGAACTTGAATTGAAATTGAATTGAACTTGAATTTCACTGAATTGAACTTGAATTTTCATGGAATTTTCATTGAATTTTCATTGAATTTCCATTGAATTGAAGTTGAATTGAAATTGAATTTCATTGAATTGAACTTGAATTTCATTGAATTGAACTTGAATCTCATTGAATTGAAATTGAATTTCATTGAATTGAAATTGAATTGAAATTGAATTGAAATTGAATTGAACTTGAATTTCATTGAATTGAACTTGAATTTCACTGAATTGGACTTGAATTTTCATGGAATTTTCATTGAATTCTCATGGAATTTTCATTGAATTTCCATTGAATTGAAGTTGAATTGAAATTGAATTTCATTGAATTGAACTTGAATTTCATTGAATTGAAATTGAATCTCATTGAATTGAAATTGAATTGAAATTGAATTGAAATTGAATTGAAATTGAATTGAAATTGAATTTCATTGAATTGAAATTGAATTGAAATTGAATTGAAATTGAATTGAACTTGAATTTCATTGAATTGAAATTGAATTGAACTTGAATTGAAATTGAATTGAACTTGAATTTCATTGAATTGAACTTGAATCTCATTGAATTGAAATTGAATTTCATTGAATTGAAATTGAATTTTAGTATTGAATATTGCTACAATTGGCTTGCCATATAAGAGCCTTTGACATGTTTTGAACCACAGCAATCGCGCTACGCCGGGCACATTGAAAGTCGAACACTCAATCTTTATTCCTTTTTTTTAGTGAATGCGACGTGAATTTCGAGAAACCTCGAAAAGATGAAGTTGATTTGCTTAAAGTTAAGAAACGAACTGAATGTCAAAGTAGTACGTTCAGTCAATCAGTAGCGGGTGTTTTAGCGATCATCGAATCAGGAGCGAGTAATTTTGACCTCTTCAGATGCAACATCAAAAAAAAAAGACGCGGCTCTTTATCGACCAGTCAGCATACAGTAGCTTTGCCCTCTTTGTCAGGTATAACCTAGGCTTCTTTCAATTGATCGGCCCAACGACGCTGACAACGATTGAGTAAGTATACATTTTAATTCGTTTTCCATAGATTTTTAAGGTGCGCCAAAATGAAATTTTTTTGTGATGAGGGTTGAAATTCCTTCCCTCAGGTCTGGGTAGAGCAACATAGGTGACTATGATAATAGATAAGAGGAGCGGGTATCCCTTGCCTTATTAATCGGCTTGAATATCTCAGATAATCTTCATCAGAAAAGTTTCCTTACTAGCTGGAAATGTCTTCTCCATCATGGCCTTTTCGTCATATTGAAAGTTAGCATAAAAATGAAGTCTATTGGCCAAACACAACAGAAATAGTGAAAAAATATGGTAAACTTTAACACACCGAGATAATTCAATAAAACAGCACATAATAACATGACACAAACTTTTAATGTACCTTGAAGAAACTTAAAAAGACATAAAAGTGAGTGATGGTGTGATAATAAAATTGATCAAGCAAACGATTGAACAAAACAGTTAGTTAAGACTTGTTTTCCAGGATAGCGGCTAATTCAACTATGTGGCAATTCACTGTTCCCTCCGCAAATTCTGAGGGTAATGCAAAGCTATGGCCTCTTCGTACCTTCAACTTTATGTGGCCCCGACTGATGATAACTTTCTTAGCATCGTCGCCTGTCTTTTCAATGAAAAACCTTGAAGAAATAAAAGATAAGTCTAGGCTGTTGTGAGTGATTCAAATATTTGACTTGCAAATGAAACTACGGTTTACAGAAACCAGTGGAATCGGATGTTATTGAATGGCCTTGAACTATACTCACGCGAAAGCAATTCGTATAATTTTGACCCCTCTGTAATATTGGAGCCAAAGCTTTCCTCTTGTCATAACAAGTCTCCATTTCCTATCAAACGCCTGCATCAGAGGAGAAGCGATGGGCCATTTCCAATTATTCGGCACCAACCAAGTCAGAACGACGACAGTTTTACTCTCTATTTCCGTGTAGACTGTGGCCTATCAAAAAAATGAATAAAGAGAGTCGAGTCGATACGCTATATAGCCAAAGAAATAAATTCTTTAAATTTAAAACCAAGCAATAGTATTGCGATTGCTTGGAGATTTTCGCGGGTCTCAACACTATTTGGGGAGCTGGCAAAGGGATATACTTCACTGTTTTAAAGTGCGCCAATTAGCTGCCAAAGAATATTCGTAGCTAGCACTGAATATCGAATTTTTTTCCTGGCAAATTCGTTAACCATATGGTGTTACGCCAACGACAATAGAAGTTTTTATTTCTATTTTTGACTCCACAAAATTGTTAAGCTTTCGAAAAGTAACCATGCAAAAAAAAAATTATTTTCGTTCTAGAACGTTCGTAGCAATGAATCCGTCCTATACACTGCATGATATGTAAATTAGTTTACTATCGTTAGAAGCAATATTTTTACTTCCTTTAGAGACCATGCCTTTGTCTGCTCGTCAATGTCTAAGTGTTTTCTTGCGTTGTCTCTGTTAGGTACCACCACTTCCGATTGTCGGATCACATCAAGGCAACTAGGAACACCACACTGGACAATACACTTTGGACAAGTAACCATGTGAAATGGAATATCTTTTCTGTCAGAAGACAATGGGAGAATTATTTCTTTAGTTTGCCATGCCTCGGTTAGATCATATATTGAAAGTAATTACACATTGCATTGTGGTAAAACTACATAATACTCCGCCTATTTAACTGCGTTTTCGTGAATCCTGGCACGAAATAGGCATTAATAATTTAAATGTTTAAAAGGTGTCTCAGTGGCTTTCCAAGAAGTGAAACTGTGGCATGCATTTCTCAGATCGAATTTTAAAATTTGACTTTTCTGGGTTCGAAATGTTAACAGGGCTTACAATAGACGACAAACGAATATTTTACAATTTTGAAATAACGTCGTATACTATCTCACTGTCATCTGACACTCGCCAACGTCTTTTTTAAACTATAATAAGATGACGTACGAAATATTTTTAAACAACAAGGAAATCAAGTGCCACCGATCGAGGAGTTACATGAAAATACTGCAAAGAGACAGGAACAATTAACTCGAAAAGCTTTCCCTATAATGCTTTTTAATCATCCAATGAGAGCGGCTACCATGTAGCCGATACTTTTCAACACTGAGCGTATATTAGCACCACTAGCAAGAATATTACCATTCGAGATAGAGGTCTCTTAATGCCTTACATTGGCCTAAGTGTAAAATACTGGAAAAAAAAAAAAGGACATGCAAAGTACCTCCCAAGTTCTAATCCACATGTTAAGGAACAAGAAGCGGGGAGGCAAGGACAGAACTGTGTTCGGTGGCGATGCATTTCCACCCTTCTTACTAGAGGTGTAAGCTTAGTTGATTCCTCGCAATCTTTTCAGGGCATGTATTGCACTGCACAGGAGTCTCGCCACACCCCCTCTGGAAGGTTAATATTGCCTTTACAATATTTGCACGTGCAATTTAAAGCTCTTGCTGCATTTCTGAGAGCGATGTTCGGAATGTAACATATTGGAGTAGTATTGCACACTGGACATCTTTTCGCAACTTGTTCCTCTTGTCTGCTATGGCACGAACCGCAAATTGAATGGCAACATTTTGACACCAAGTAGCAAGTTATCATCAGCTCGTAACTAAAACAGTTTTTAAAACATCAGTGCATTAGGCTGATGGATAGTGGACATGTACATTCAACTATATCCAAAGTTCATTGTGTCGCACAGGTGAATAACCTTAACTCAAACAGAAAATTTTAGAGACGGTTTTCAATAGTTCATTTACAAAGTGTGTATGGCATATTGTCCTTAATAAACGCAATTCACGACAAATATTTTGAGCGTAGTGGAGAAATACCCGGAAGCTGGGAAGAGTGTAATAGAGACTAATTGCCCGGCGGTCAGAAATTTCTCTAAAATATCTACGAAATGCTCAAGTCTAATTGGTTGAAAGCATTGTAACTTTGTTTAGAATTGTCAAGCGATTCATAAAAGGAAGAGGACTTCGCAGCTGACTATTTTGCGAGCTTGGGCATAACATGAAATGTTATGGCTCCGCTCACGGGCACAGTTTTATCGAGACTAAAACAGTGTTACTGCTGAGAATGTCTTTGTGAGTCAAATCATCGCTGGTTGGAGCTCAACATCGACAATGTTATCCATCAAAAATTTTCCTTAGGTGGTCCAGAAGCTCAATAGCGTATTTTTTTTGTAGAACAGCTGACGCTTGTTAAGTTATGTTTAAAACGAAAAATTATCTTCTGAGACCATTCTGATGTCGCAGGTAATTTAGTGTTAACAACTGGGTTGAAAACGTAAATTAGCCACCGTAAAGGGTAAAAAAACTGACGTTTCGAGCGTTAGCCCTTCGTCAGAGCGATTAGAGGGGCTAAGGGCTAACGCTCGAAACGTCAGCTTTTTTACCCTTTACGGTGGCTAATTTACGTTTTCAACCCAGTTGTTAACACTAAACTACCTGCTATACTCTCCCACCGACGCAGCACCACAGTTTCTTTAGAAACTTACCCCTTTATTCATTCTGATGTCGGATTGGAAGAGCCTCTCATTCATAATATTTCCTCCTTTGAGTAACAAGTAGCCTGAGTTGTTCATCGTGGGCCAAACTTTTCAAACTTCCTCTTTCGATCCAGGAAAGACGAGGAGATAAGACATCAATAATAAAAAACAAGCAAAAAACAATTTTTTGTGGTCTTTTCCAAACCCTCCCATTCCCTTCATTTATATATGGGTATTTTGTAAAAAAACTGTTAAGACTGATCCAACAGACTTGCAACTGCATGTATTGTACTTACAAAATGTGGTACAAATAAGATTATGTTAACAAATGCATGCAGCTACTTCAGCTATTACATTTAGGTGCTAAATTATTTTATGATAGGCTAAGATGAAAAAAGTAGGTTTTCAACTTTACCAAGTCTTTCGTATTGTATTTTATTTTTATTATTTGACGTTGTTTTCTATCATTTTTATGACCCCCTGTTGAAAACCATTTTGTCAAATGGGCCATCTGTTTAAAGAATTATAAAATTTGTATTTTTATCATTATTAGTATTATGATTATTAAATGCATTATGCTGTTGTTTATATTGATGTCTACAGGACAGGATGTGGGTTCCAGCCATGAAAGCAATGCCCAAGATCTGCAAATAGTGTCTGTTAGATCTCATAACCAACTGCCTGGTATGAAAAGTGGGCAAATGTCCTTTTTTTTACACTGTGCATTGTGTAGTATTTATTTAGAAGTAAATAGGTGCTTACATGGAAGGTACCGCTTTACGCTTGCATTCTAGGCATTTATGTTATGATTGATGGCTTCGCAATCATATTACAGTTTTAACAATCAGACTGGTGCATTACTTTAATCGTTTCGTCCTTGCGTGAATAGGTACAGGAATACTTACAAGTGTACCTTGTCTTCTGTTTCCTTACAGGTAATAAATTTCCTCAGAGAGTATACATTTCTTGCAATTAGTTGGAGATTCAATACCAAAATTAATTGCTTTGTATTGTAGGGTGTTCCTGCTGATTCCAAACAGTACTAAATAATTTGCATGAGATCTATATCTCTAGCAACCGAGCAATTGACAACTGACAGTTTTTTGTTCTGTTGTAGCCCAGACATTTATCATCGCTGTATTGAAAGGAAACTATGGTGTGAACAAATATATTGGCAAAACAGAGAAGTCTCACCATAAGCCCAAAATTGTGAAAGTATCACTTAAAGCAGCATTCAAAGTAGTTGAATTTTATTGTTTTTGACCATTTCACTTGAAATAAAGATAAACTTTGTCGAAGAGTGAATTGTTTTTTGCAAGAACCTGATTTTTTTAAAATTTACATCCTTGAGTTGAACTGAAAAATAGTTCCCTGCTTTTTTGGGGGGGCAGGTGGATGCTTCATTGTTCAGCTTAGTTTTCTTTATTTGATATTGCTTTTGTCTTAGTTGTAAAGGCTTTTATCGTTTCAGCACACCTGAATCTTTTGACAATGAATGCTGTTTTTCTTCTTTAGCTTGTTCTACCAGGGCTGTGGGTTTAGAAGGTTTGAATTTTCTAGGAATCAATTATGCATCTGAAGTTAGAAATCTGTTTAGTTATAATTACACCTTTACAGATATAATCTCAACCAAAGGCATAACCCTGGAAATAAGTGAGAACATCCAGTCTGGTATGGATACAAATTCACCTGGTGGAAAATATTTCCCTCAATTGACGCAATATACAGTACTTTCCCTTATTTAGGTCGCTTTAAGTTTTAAAACTTTCAATAACAACATTGAAGGGTCTGTTTGGCAAGGTAGAATCTGAGCAACTTCCTATTTTAATTGGTCTCTCCCAGAAAATCTGTCTTCAGACCAATCGGCAAAGATTTACAATAAATTTTAAAAGTTATATTCAGAAAGCGAGAAAGGCTACAAGCTGCAAATGCATGAAACCCCTCAAATTAGTAGCACATACACATCAATACTGTTCACTTGTGAACCGTGAGTGCTACAAGCTGTTGTAAGAATGCTTGTTATACATTCCTATATGGCTATTTCAATAATTTTTTTTTATGGCAATGTCTTTGCAACTTATATGATTTGATCCTAGATTATTACAAGAGGTAGGTGATTACAATTATTGCCTTGGTTGATATCTGTTTTTCAATCTTGATAGGAGGAGAAGCGAGTTGCCAAAAAGCCATAGGGGGTGCTGAGGTCTTTGGTGAGGACATTTTAATTTTTTTTTTTAGTGTTATAAGCTTTCTTAAAACAAATGTAAGAGATATAATTTGATCTCCTATTCAGCACTTTTTGGCATTCTACGAAACGTAGAAGCTAATTTATACCAAGTTGTCCAGCTAGCAACAATTAAATGAAACATTAGAATGGGTGTTCAGTCTGGATTTCATACACCAGTTTACCCTTCTATGAAATGGTTAGGCAATGGAGACAAGCGAGGAAGTTATCTCTATAATATTACTAACTCTGTTAAATTACACCTTCAGAGTAATAATTGAATGTCACCATAGATCATGATTAGAGGTTGTTCTCATTTGTAAAGGTCCCTGATTGACAAGTTGAAAAATTGTTTTCAGATATTGAAGGACCCTTACAGCAGGTCCAACTGCTGTACCTCCTCCTTGAGAGAAGATTAACGTGGACCCCATGTCCATTTACACTTGACCACGCAATTTTTCTAGGCAACCTTTAAATTTCAATTAGAAATTTATGAAAGTGTTGATCTGTGCATGGTTGTATTTATCTTGCAGCATTCCTTTTAACCATCTTTCTTTGATTTGTTTGGGCTGTTGTGCAGAGCCGCCTTGGTCTTGTTTGATGAGAGTGATGAGAGTGTCAATGTCATTAGGTGGGCTAAAAAAATATCAAACAAAGTAAAAAATTGCTATTAAAAGTGCCCTAAACAGAACATGCCAGAAGTACAGAAGTAAACGTAGTTATTTTTAGCTTAAATTATCAGAAAAATACTCCACCTCTTGTTAAAATTTCTATTTACAGATGAATGATGTAGATGTTTCTTTTTTTTTCCTGCTTAAAACGCAAATTTTAGT